CAGCAGGGAGAGCGGCCCCCAGGTGTGCCAGACGCCAAGGAAAACAGGAGGTGAGCTCATGGCCCCAACGGCGGCGGCGGTGGCGGCGGCGGGCAGGGCAGGGCAGGCGCTGTCCGGGCACGGGCGTCACTGCCAACGTCCAGGCTGGGGCCGGCTGGTCCCTCCCAGCCTCCCCTTCCAGGCCTGCCCTTCCTCACGCACCCTCTATGGCTCCCCATTGCCCTTGGAAGGCAGCCCGAGCCCCACGCCGCGGCCACTGCCCCTCCCGCAGCCTCATCTCCTGCTTCCCCCCGAGCCCCAAGACCTGCCACCCCGAAGCCAGTCCGTCCACAGACCGGGGCTGTTTCCCCACATGGCACACCTTGCCACTGCCTCTGTGCTTCGCTGTGTCTTCCTCCTCCCCCAAGACCCGGCTTGGCGTTCCCTCCTCCTCCAGAAGCTCGCCCTGATTTCCCCTAAGCCCGGCAACTGGGTCACCTCCTCGGAGCTGCCACTGTTCACCCGTGTGTCCCCTGTCACAGCCATGGCCCTGCCGGGGGATTGTGCAGCTACCTCCCCCCAGCAAGCTGGACTCCCCGTCAGGGAAGGGCTGGGCCTGGCTTGGTGTCCACTCTGTGGTCCCCTCTGCCCAGCACGGCACACGCGTGTGGAATAATGAATGTGCCCGGACATTTCCCACCCAGACTACCCTCTCCTTTCCCTGCGCCGATCTGAGTCCTCCCTTTCCTTTACGTCTCCCTGCCGCCGCCTCCAGGAAGCCCTCGGTGACTTCTCTGTAGCCTCCCAGGAAAAGGGACCTGCCTGCTACTCTGGCTGCACCCTTGCCCTGTGCCGTGACCTCCTCCTGGCCTCAGTTTCCCTGTCCACAGAACAGAGGCTGTGAATACCGGGAAGCAGGTGTGGAGAGGGTTAACCAACTCCAGGAGGCCAAGGTGTTTCGTGGCTCAGGAGGAGGGGGGGGCAGGTCTGGGAGGGACAGTTTTCCAGATTCACAGGAATTTTTATTTTTATTACAGGTTGTTCCCACAGCGGCTGGAGTGCAGCTTGGAAGGGGCGGGGGTGGTGCTCGCACCCCATTGCACAGATTGGAAAGCGGAGTGGGCCCCCTCCCCCAGCCAGGCCGCCCCCATCCACCCGCCAAAGGACCACAGGGCCGGAGGGAACCGCCAGCGACCCAGCAATGGGGTGGGAGGCGCCACTCGGAACCCCCAAGGGAGGGGGGCCGGGAGGAGGCCCTTGGACCCAGGCGGGAAAACCGAGGGTCCCACCCTCACCTGCCACCCCCCACTCCGCAGTAACAACGATTAATGGTGACGTTTATTACCTCCGCCGTGCAAGGGAGGAAACTGAGGCACAGACACCATTTGCCGGATTTGGCCAGTCGGGTTGACGCAGAGCGGGAGGGTCTTATTCCTTGAGACACTGGTGACTCCGTTTCCCCAAATGTGAGCCAAGAGGGCCCCCTTGGAGACTGCCTCGCTCACTCGCTTGCTGGGGGCTCCAGCCGCACCCAGGCGGGGCGCAGGGCAAGCTCTCCAGAAAGGCGGGCGGGGAAGGGCGGGGAGGGGTGGTCCCGCCTAACTCCCCGCCCCGGCCCCGCCACCCGTCTCCACAGGCCACCCCCCCCCAGGACTCAGTTTCCCCACCGTGTCCGATCCATGGGCGGGCGACTCCTCCGGACAGCCGGGGCGGGGCCTGGAAGGCAGAGGCCAGCGCCGTCTGTTTACCTTGCGGCGGGCGCTGGGCAGGCCCGCGCTGGGCCGTCCCGGGGGCTGGCCGCGCCGCGGGCATAAATAGGCCCCGCGGGCGTCGTGGGCGGCAGAGAGCGAGCCGCCACCCCGCGCCCGCCGACGCCATGGCCCCCGCCGCCGCCCGCCTGCTCCTGCTCGCCCTGGCCGCCCTCGGAGCGTCGGGCCAGGCCCAGAGCGCGCTGGGTACGCCGCGCGGGAGCCCCGCGCGCAGGGCGGCGAGAGGCCCCGCCCGGCTCCTCGGGGCTGCCCGAGGCAGGACGCAGGCCCCGGGGCGCAGTGGGCGCGGTCGGGGATCCGGGCTGCGAGGGAGGGTAGGAGGTGGGGTCCCCGCTCCCCGACGCCTCACCTGCCCCCCCTGTCGGCGCAGGCTCGGACTTGGCCCCGCAGATGCTGCGGGAGCTGCGCGAGACCAACGCGGCGCTGCAGGACGTGCGTGAGCTACTGCGGCAGCAGGTGCGGGGCGCGGGTCGGGGCGCGGGAAAGAGGGGTCCCCGGGAAGCAGGGGGAGCCGGGAGGACAGCGGTTGGAGCAGGGAGTCCGGGGCAAGAGCAGCTTGCGGAGCTGGCGCGGGTCGTGGAAAGCTGAGTCCGGGGCCGGCGCGCGAGGCTCGCGCCTGTCATCCCAGCACTCTGGGGGGCCGAGGCGGGCGGATCCTTTGAGCTCAGGAGTTCGAGACCAGCCTGAGCAAGAGCGAGACCCAGTTTCTACTAAAAATAGAAAGAAATTAATCGGCCAACTAAAAATATATGGAAAAAATGAGCCGGCGTGGCGTGGCACATGCCTGTAGTCCCAGCTACTCGGAGGGGCTGAGGCAGGAGGATGGCTTGCAGCCAGGAGTTTGAGGTTGCCTGTGAGCGAGGCTGGAAGCCACGGCACTCACTCTAGCCTGGGCAACACAGTGAGACTCTGTCTCAAAAAAAAAAAAACGGAAAAAGAAAAGTGAGGTGCCGGGGACAGACAGCTGGCGCCGCTGACGCCCCCGACGCCCGCGCAGGTCAAGGAGATCACGTTCCTGAAAAACACGGTGATGGAGTGTGACGCGTGCGGTGAGCGCGGCGGGCCGGCCGGGGCGGCAGGGGCTGGCGGGAGGCGAGGGAGGAGACGGGAACGGAGACCGGACGGAGAGCCAGGCGACGCAGGGAGGAGCGGAGTCCGAGGAGATGGGGGCCTCAAGGGAGGCATCGAAGAGGCTGGCCGTGAGGGCGGCGCGGGGAGGCGCTGCGGGGCCGGGCGGAGGAGAGGCGGGCGCGGAGGCGCGCAGAGACCGGAGAGACCCGGCGGGCGGGCGGAGCGCGGGCGGCGGGAGGCCGGCTGGGTCTCGCTCCGCCGGGGCGCCCGCCTAGTGCGGGGCGGGTCCCGACCGGCTCCGCCCCCGGGGCGCGGCCCTGACCAGCGTCGCCCGGCCCCGCAGGGATGCAGCCGGCGCGCACGCCGGGGCTGAGCGTGCGGCCGGTGCTGCAGTGCGCGCCCGGCTTGTGCTTCCCCGGCGTGGCCTGCACGCAGACGGCGAGCGGCGCGCGCTGCGGGCCCTGCCCCGAGGGCTTCACCGGCAACGGCTCGCACTGCACCGACGTCAACGAGGTGCCTGACACCCCACCGCCCCCGACCGCCCCCCAACACCCTCCCGCCGTCCAGGCTGCTGCCCCCGCCTCCGCTGGGGGTGCTGGTCCCCGAGGAGCCCCTTCCCGCCAGGGGCGCACTCGCAGACGACCCCCCCACCGCAGGGGGACGCCCACCCGCACCACCCCCGTCCCCACCGAGCTGGACGCCCGCAGGGACGTCACCCTCCATCGCTAGTGACGACTCCCTCGCTGCCCGCGGTGGTCCGTCCCAACCACCCTCCTCCCCGCCGCGCGCGGTCGCCAGTCCCAACGACCCTTCCCCGGCCAGGGGTCACCTGCCCGGGCGACCCCACCACCGCCGGGCATGCACGCCCCGACGACCACTGCCTCCGTCGGCTGGGGATTGCCGCCCTCGGAATCCCCCTTCCCCGGCCCCCCGTGACGGGGCGGCCGCCGTCGCGCCCTTACCAACGCAGAGTCGCTTCTGACCCCTGGGGCGGTCGCCTCTGCCCCACAGGGCGCCGGGCTCCAAGTGCAGCTGATGGCCCTTGGCTTGTCCGAGTCCGGGACCCCCTGGGGTGCGGCCGTCCAGGCCCAGCTGGGAGTCCTCTGACCCCCCCACCCCCGTGGCCCCTTCTCCCCCAGTGCAACGCGCACCCCTGCTTCCCCCGCGTCCGCTGCGTCAACACCAGCCCGGGCTTCCGCTGCGAGGCGTGCCCGCCCGGGTACAGCGGCCCCACCCTCGAGGGCGTGGGGCTGGCCTTCGCCAAGGCCAACAAGCAGGTAGGGGCGGCGGGGGCGGGTTCGCAGGAGAAAGGAAGGGGACACCCGTTGTTTAATGACCCGTCCTGCAGCTTGGTCCCGTTCCGCAGCGCGGCTCCGCGGGAGGGGTGGGGAGGGGCCGTCGGGGTGGGAGCCGGAGCATTCGGAGGAGGCGCGGGCCGGGCGGGAGATGGGGTGTTGACCTGTGGGTGCCCCCGCGCCCCCAGGTTTGCACGGACATTAACGAGTGCGAGACGGGCCAACATAACTGCGTCCCCAACTCCGTGTGCATCAACACCCGGGTGAGCCCGGCCGGGGACGGGGGAAGGACCGCGCGCTTGCGGTGGGGCGCGGGAGCCGGGCAGCCGGTGCTGACCGCCTGCGACGCGGGCGCAGGGCTCGTTCCAGTGCGGCCCGTGCCAGCCCGGCTTCGTGGGCGACCAGGCATCCGGCTGCCGCCGGCGCGAGCAGCGCCTGTGCCCCGACGGCTCGCCCAGCCAGTGCCACGAGAAGGCGGACTGCGTCCTGGAGCGCGACGGCTCGCGGTCGTGCGTGGTGAGTGCGGGGGGCGGGGCGTGAAACGGGGGTTCGCAGGGGAGGGGGCGGCGATCACGCGGGGACGCCCACTCCGCTGACCGTCCCCCGCCGGGGCGCCCTCCCGTGACGTCCCCCCGCCGGGGCCCTCCGTGACGTCCCCCGCCGGGGCGCCCTCCCCGGCCTGCCGTCCTGCCGGCGCCCTCTCCGCTGACCGTCCCCCGCCGGGGCGCCCTCCCCGCTGACCTCCCCCGCCGGGGCGCCCTCCCCGCTGACCGTCCCCCGCCGGGGCGCCCTCTCCCCTGGCCGTCCCCCGCCGGGGCGCCTCTCCCCTGGCCTCCCCCACGCCGGGCGCCTCCCCGCGACCGTCCCCGCCGGGCGCCTCTCCGGCGCGACGTGTCCCCCGCCGGCCGCCCTCCCCGACCGACGGTCCCCCGGCGGGCGACTCCCGCCCGACGTCCCCGCCGGGCTCCTCTCCGCCTGACGTCCCGCCGCCGCCCTTCCCCTGCCCGGCTCCCCGCCGGGCGGCCTCCCGCCTGACGCTTCCCCGCCGGGCGGGCCTCTCCGCTTGACCGTCGCCCCGGGCGCCTCTCCGCTGACTGTCCCCCGCCGGGCCGGCGGCCTCTCCCCTGGCCGTCCCCTTGCCGGGCTGCTCCTCCTCCCGCTGATCCGTTCCTCCCCCCCCCTCCGCCGGCGCCCCTCGCGACCGTCCCCCGTCCCGGGCTGCCCTCGGTCCCCTGGCTCCCCAGTGCTCGTCCGTCGGCCTGGGGTGCAACGGGTGATCCTCTGCTCTGTGCCGCTTCCTGATCTGGACGGATCCCACGAGAAGGCCCTGCGGGTGCCGCCCGAGCGCAGTGTCGCAAGGTGGGCGGGGCCGGCGAGGCGACCGGTTTTATTTTTTTTTTTTTCCTCTGTTTCCCCGAGCGAGCGGGTGGCGACCGGGGCCCGGCGGCCCTCACCCCCCAGCTGTCCGGCCCCCGGCAACTGCGGTGACGGTGCCCATTCGGGGCAGGGGGGAGGGACGTGGACCTCGACGGGCATCGGGAGACGGCCTGCGACCCGGACCAGCGACGGGCGACGGGTCGCCAATTGAGGTTTTTTGTTGTTGTTTTTATGTTGGCTTTTTCTTTTTCTTGGTTTGTTTTTCTTGTTTTTTGTTGTTGTGCTTTGATTGGAGGAGGCGCGCTGGCTTCTGTATGGTGTTGTTTGTGTAGTTCTCTTGTGTGTGTTTCGTTTTTTATTGTTTGTTTTCTCCCCTCACGGCCGCTGTTCCCCGGAACTGCCTTCTGCTTTTGTGTTTTTATTTTTGACCAGGCCGCAACGCGGCGGGCGAGGTGGGCGATGCGTGCGACAACTGCAGGTCCCAGAAGAACGACGACCAAAAGGACACGGATCGGGACGGCCGGGGCGACGCCTGCGACGACGACATCGACGGCGACCGTGAGCTCGGCGAGGGGGAAGAGGCGGGGTTCAGAGCTGGGGCGGGGCCCGGGCGGTTTTGGGGTCCGGATGGGTGAGCCCGCCTGGGCGCCCGCACCGTGGGACCGTGGACAGGACTGGGGCGGGCGGAGAGGCGCAAGCCAGGCGCGAGGCTGGGCCAAAGCTGGGGGGACGTTCGGGAGGAAGGCCCTGCAGGTGAAGTAAGAGACAGGCGCGGGGCGCGGTGGCTCGCCGCCTGCTCGTCCCAGCACTCTGCGGGAGGCCGGTAGGCGGAGGATCGCTCGATCAGGAGAACTTCAAACCAAGCCTGAAGCAAGAGCGAGACCCCGTCTGCTACTTATAGAAAGAAATTATTGGCCAACTAAAAAATATATAGAAAAAATTAGCCGCGCACGCGGTGGGATGCCTGTAGTCCAGCTACTCGGAGGCTGAGGCAGGCAGGTTGCATTGAGGCCCAGGAGTTTGAGAGTTGCTGTGAGCTAGGCTGACGCCACGGCAATCACTTGCCCGGGCGACAGGAGTGAGACTCTGTCTCAAAAGAAAAAGAAAAAGAAAGTAAGAGACAGAATGTATTTTTTTTTTTCTGTGGCCCGCTCTGGGCCCGGAAGGTGCCGTTTGCACACCTGGGGACATGGAGGCTCAGGGCGGCCCGCACAGGGGCACCCGCGCTGTCCTTGGGGTGAGGGAGAGCGCCCCTGTCACGGCGTCCATCTAAGTCCCCGAGAAGCGACCCCGAGAAAGCCATCCTGGCCTGGCCCCGATCTCGGGGTTCCTGCCTTGTTCCCTGTGCTTCCCAAAGGCATCCGGAACCCCGCGGACAACTGCCCCCGGACACCCAACCCGGACCAGAGGGACGCGGACGGCGACGGCGTAGGGGATGCCTGTGACAACTGTCCCCGGAAGAGCAACCCGGACCAGGTAAGGGCAGGTGGGACCCTGCGCCCCCCCCCACACCCCACCTCCCCAGCCAGGGGAGCCCCAGGCTGGGTGAGGAGGTGGCAGCCCAGCCGCAGCAGCCCACCCTGGGGGGGCGAGTGACCTCCCAGTCCCAGCAGCTTGGGGTGGGGGTGGGGGTCCCTCGGGGTCACCTTGGCTGTGCAGCTGGGGTGGGGGAGGGTGCGCGGGGGGTTGGAGTTCCTCGGCCCTGATCGTGGACTCCTGCCCCCCAGAGCGATGTGGACCACGACTTCGTGGGAGACGCGTGCGACAGCGACCAGGACCAGTAAGGGCCCTGCCCCCCAGCTGGGTGTGGTCGGGGCGTCAGACCCCCCGCGGGCCTCACGCTTCCTGCCGCACCCCCGCTCAGGGACGGGGACGGGCACCAGGACTCCATGGACAACTGCCCCGCGGTGCCCAACAGCGCGCAGCAGGACTCGGACCGCGACGGGCAGGGCGACGCCTGTGACGACGACGACGACAACGACGGAGTCCCCGACGGCCGGGACAACTGCCGCCTGGTGGCCAACCCCGGCCAGGAGGACGCGGACAGTGCGGCGGGCGGCCCCGGGGCGGGCGGCGGGCGGGCGCTGGGCGGGCGGCGGGGGTGACCGCGGGCCGCTCCTGCCCACAGGGGACGGCGTGGGGGACGCGTGCCAGGGCGACTTCGACGCCGACAAGGTGGTGGACAAGATCGACGTGTGCCCCGAGAACGCCCAGGTCACCCTCACCGACTTCCGGGCCTTCCAGACGGTCGTGCTGGACCCCGAGGGCGACGCGCAGATCGACCCCAACTGGGTGGTGCTCAACCAGGTCGGCCGCGCGGGGCGGGCGGGCTGGGCGTGGCCGGGTGGGAGGCGGGCTGGGCGGGCGGCGGGCGGCTGGGCGGGCCGGGCGTGGAGGCGGCTGGCGGGCGCGCGGCTGGCGGCGAGCAGCGGGCTGGGCGGCGCCGGGGCCGGCGTGCCGGCCGGCGCGGCGGCGGCGGAGGGCGCGGGCGGCGGGCGCCCTGACGCTCTCCTCGACCGCACCAGGCATGGAGATCGTGCAGACCATGAACAGCGACCCGGGCCTGGCTGGTGAGCGCGGCGCGGGGAGCCGGCGGGGCGGGGCCGGCGATGCGGGCGGGCAGGGGCGGGCGGCCGACGCGGGCGGCCAGGGGACGGGCGCGGGCGGACGCTGCGGGGGCGGGCCAGAGGCGGAACTGTGTAGGAGCGGGGCCAAGGCGGACGCCCGGAGGCGGGGCCAGAGCGGGAATGACCGTGGGAAAGCATGGCAGAGGCGGCCTGCCAGGGAGGGCGGGGGCCAGAGGTCCTACCCGGGGAGGGCGGGGCCGAGGCGTGCTGCGCGGGGAGAGCGGTGCCAGAGGGGTCCACCCGGGAGCGGCCAAAGCGTGCCTCCGTGGCGGGCCACAGGCGTGCCTGCGCGGAGGGCGGGGCAGACGTGCCTGCGCGGGGAAGCGGGGCCGAAGGTTACCGGAGGGAGGGGCCAGAGGCGTGCTGCCGTGGGGGCGGGCCACAGGCGTGCTGCGGCGGAGCGGGCCAGAGCGTGCCTGCGGCGGGAAAGCGGGAGCCAGAAGGTCTACCACCGGAGGGAAGGGGCCAGAGCCGTGCCTGGCCGTGGGGGCGGGGCCCAGAGCGTGCCTGACATGGGGGCGGGTACGAGGCGTGCCTGCCGTGGGGGGCGGGACCAGAGGCGTGCCTGCCGTGGGGGGCGGGGCCACAGGCGTGCCTGCGGCGGAGGCGGGCCAGAGCGCCTGCCGTGGGCGGGGCCAGAGGCGTGCCTGCGGCGGAGGCCGGGGCCAAGGCGCCTGCCGTGGGCGGGCAGAGGCGTGCCTGCGGCGGAGGCGGGGCCAGAGGCGTCGCCGCGCGGGAGGGCGGGCCATAGGCGTGCCTGCAGTGGGGAAGGCGGGGCCAGAGGCGAGTCTGCACGTGAAAGGCGCGGGGCCACCGGCGGGCCTGCCGGGCGGGGCAGAGCGTGCCGCCGTGGGCAGGGGCCAGAGGCGTGCCTCGGCGGGAGGGCGGGGCAGAGGCGTCCCAGCGGGGAAGTGCGGGCCAGAGGTGAGTCTGCAGTGAAGAGGGCGGGGCCACCGGCGGGCCTGCTGCGGGGGGCGGGGCCAGACTCTGGAGGGGCGTGGTCAATGGCAGCGGGAGCGTGTCCCCGCCTGGCTGGGGTGCAGATGGGGCGGCCCGGGCAATCCAGCCCAAGGGCAGGTTCGGCTGTGCAGGGGAGGTCGCGGGTGGGGTCAGCGTTGCTAAGCGCCGTCGCTGTGGCCCCTTCCCCAGGCTACACCGCCTTCAACGGCGTGGACTTCGAGGGCACGTTCCACGTGAACACGGCCACGGACGACGACTACGCGGGCTTCATCTTTGGCTACCAGGACAGCTCCAGCTTCTACGTGGTCATGTGGAAGCAGATGGAGCAGACGTACTGGCAGGCGAACCCCTTCCGCGCTGTGGCCGAGCCGGGCATCCAGCTCAAGGTGCCGGGGCCCTGCCCGACCCCCGGTTCCTTGTGGCTTCCCACGGACCACCCCAAACCTCCACGGCCTCCCGGCCTCACACTGTGGCCTCGAACTCGTCTGCCCCTGCCCTCCCCTGAGCTCCCAGGGCCCCAAGTCCCCCAGGGTCCTCGCACAAGCCCTCAACCATGCCCTGGGCTCCCCCTAATCTTCCTTCCGACCCCCAAGCCCTCTCACAGAGCCCTAAACCTCCCTCGTCTCCAAGTCCTCCTGCAGACCCTGCAGACCCCCCCAGACCCCAGGATATGGCTGAAACCCTCCAGCAAATCCCCCAAATCCTCCAGACTTGGGTATCCCATGGACACCCCAAACCCACAGGTCACCCAATCTTCCTGCAGACCCCCCAATACTCCAAGACCCCAAATCCTCTCATGAACCCCCAGACACTGCTGCCCCCATGACCTATACCCCCTACCCCCACTTGGGCCCACAGGAAGGCCTCCTGTGGGCCTCCCAGCCGGAGCTCGCCCCCCTGCAGGCAGGGTTCCAGGGGCTCCAGGGGGGCGGCCTGCCGGGTCTCTGACGCCTGCCCTCCGCGCTGGCAGGCGGTGAAGTCCTCCACGGGCCCCGGCGAGCAGCTTCGCAACGCGCTGTGGCACACGGGGGACACGGGGTCTCAGGTGCGGCTGCTGTGGAAGGACCCCCGCAACGTGGGCTGGAAGGACAAGACGTCCTACCGCTGGTTCCTGCAGCACCGGCCCCAAGTGGGCTACATCAGGTGAGGACCCCGCTGTCCGCCAGTGGCCGGGGCCGCGCAGGCCCGGGCAGGCAGAGTCAGGGCCCTGGGGCTCCAGTCCCCTCGCCTGTACGGGACTGCCCCGGGGCGTCAGGGTGAGCCTCCCGGTGGCCCTGAGCCGGGCACACAGTGGGGCTTCCGCCAGAAGGCGGGGCCACCTCCACACCAGTCCTCGGTCCCTGACCCAGGTTGCTAGGGAGCCCGGATGCTCTGCTGAGCACCTGCTGTGTGCAGGGCCCTCGGTGTCCATCCTCACGCGGGGAAACTGAGGCCCGAGTCAGAGGCCCCCCCCCCCGCTCTGACGCTGACAAGCACTTCTGAGGGTGGCCCAGTCAGGGGGAGGGGAGGGGCCCACCTCCCAAGGCTGGCCGCTGGGGCTCCGGGAGGGGAGGCCCCGCCAGCGCCCTGCCTCGCTGTCCCCGCCCCTCAGGGTGCGGTTCTACGAGGGCCCCGAGCTGGTGGCTGACAGCAACGTGATCCTGGACACGACCATGCGGGGCGGCCGCCTGGGGGTCTTCTGCTTCTCCCAGGAGAACATCATCTGGGCCAACCTGCGCTACCGCTGCAACGGTGAGCCGAGGGCACCCGGGCAGGCGGGTGCGGGTGGGAGTCTGCCCCGCCGGCCCTCACCTGCCCTCTGTCTGCCCTCTCACCTCTCCTCACCTGCCCTCTCACCTGCCTTCTGTCTGCCCTCACCTGCCCTCTCACCTGCCTTCTGTCTGCCCTCACCCGCCCTCTCTCTGCCCTCACCTGCCCCCTCACCTGCCCGCTCACCCACCCTCTCTCTGCCCTCACCTGCCCTCTCACCTGCCCTCTCACCTGCCCTCTCTCTGCAGACACCATTCCCGAGGACTACGAGACGCAGCAGCTGCGGGGGGCCTAGGGCCGGGGCGGGGACCTGCGGCTGGAGGACTGGTGCCCTGGCTGTGGCCGGGTGGGGGCTCCGCACCCGCCCCAAGGGGCAGCGTGGGCTGGGGGAAGTGAGAAGTGCTCGGAAAGGACAAAATAAAGTGTGTGCAGGGGCGGCGGCCGTGGTCTCTGCTGCGCGGACGGAGGGACAGGCTGGGACCTCAGACAGACGCCGTGGCGCATGGGAGCCTCGGGCTGCTGCCGAGTGGCCTGCCCGGGACTGTCCGGCCCCACTCGAGGGGGTCCCCCGTCTGCCGGGGCCGCCCGCCCATGGTGGTCACTGGCCGGGACCCCGGCCATGGGCGAGCTGAGACCCGAGACCCCCGACATCCACTGCAGCGTCTGCCCTGGGGTTCTGGGGCGCGGGGTTCTCAGCCACTGCCCCAGGTTTGAGGCTCCCTCCCCCAACCTGGTCCTGGGGGGCTGCGTGTCTGGAGGGGCCCCTGCCGTGCGTCTCCCAGGGAGGAAAACACAGGAAGAGGCAGAGACGAAATTGCTGCGTTTTTATTACGTTTCATTACAAAGGATGCAAAGATACAAAGACAAAAGCATCCGCGCCGGAGGGTGGGGCAGGGACCGCCCAGAGTGCCCTGAGCCGCCCGCCCCTGCCCGCCGCCCGCGCACACGGCCCACGGGACGTCCGCGGTGGAGTGGACATGCTGGGGGGCAGAGCCAGCCTGGGCACAGAGGGGCACAGGCGGGGACAGGGCTTGGGCCGGCGGGTTTGCATATATCGGTGGGGCCACCAGCCCCTCGGGGGCAGCTTCCTACGGGGTGGGGGGGGGCCGGCAAAACCCACGACGTTGGCTGCCAATGTCCCCCCCCCCGGGGCCTGGTGGCCAAGGCCACAGCTACGTCCCCCCCCAAGAGGTCAGAAGTGCTTGGTGGCTGCTGGGCTTGGCTCAGCACGGATGGCCCCCCCAGATGCCAGAACGCCCTGTGAGACGGGGGGCCACCAACACGTGCCACACCTCCCCGGCTCCTGGGGACAGATGCTGGGCGCTGGCCAGGCATCGGGCGGGTGGTGGAGACTCAAGCCATCTGGAGCCAGCACCACCCAAGGCCCAACCACGGCCCCTACCCAGCCCAGGAGGAGCCTGGGGCCCTGAGACCTGCAGGTCTGAGGAAGGGACAGGAGGGAAACTGAGGCTCAGATCACGGGCGGCTTGCTCCTGTCCCTCCATGCCCTTGGCAGTACCCCAGCCCCACCCCAGGCCTAGGGGTGCAGGTCACCCCACCTCCTGCTCCTAGGGGGAAGAATGGCGTCTGGGGCCCGTGTGGGTGCGCTGTGGGGTGCCTGACCCCCACCTGGCCAGACCCCCCGAGGCCAGGGGCCACGGGGACCACCAGGACAGCTGGCTGAGGCCGAGCTGGCTGGGGCGGACATCCCAGGGACCCCAAGTCACATGCCGAGGGACCCCCAGGAGGTGGGGCTCCATGCTTCGAGGAGAACAGGGTCAAAAGGGCCCCAGCTGCCTACAGGCCCCAGGCAGGCCCCTCAGAGCGGGTGACAGGCCGAGCCCTCCCCAGCGCCCGAGGGCCCCACCTGGAGCACCACCTGCGGACGGCGGGGAGGCCAGGCCGCCCCGCGGCCCCCGTCCCACCTCACGCCAGGGGCCCCTCAGCCTCTGACTGACGGCTCCACCAGGACCCAGCGAGGGCGACAGGAGCTGCTGTTTTATCAGGGTTGGGGGATGACGGAGGACCCCCAATACTGCCAGGCCTCCCCCCCCCAGCCAGTACCGGGGTTGGGAGGAGGTGGGGAAGCTGCACTCTTTGGAAATACAGAAAACTCAGAATCCAGGTCTGAGCCGGAGTTTGGAAAGATGTCTGGCTGCAAACCACGGAGGCCTGCCTGAGGGAGGTGGCGCCAGAGTCACTTGCCCACTTCTGCCCCACAGCCCCCCGTGCCCCAGCAGGAGGGTGTGACGGCCACCAGCCGTCCTCGCCCTCCCGCCCCCCACGACGCCAGCCAGGCGAGGCGGGCTCCCAGGAGCCGGGCGCCCTGGAGAGAGTGGGCTAGAGACGCGGACCCCCTCCCCACACGCAAGTGACGGCCGGGCCCTGAGAGGGGCTCAGAGGCCTCTCCCTGGGAGGACAGGGCACACCGACCACACTGGGGAGAGTGACGGAGGGTAAATCAAGGCAGGCCGGGGCGTCACGCTGTTGGGGCGCCCCTGCCTCGCCTCTGGACTGGGAAGGCCCACAGGGCAGAGCGGCCGAAGCTGGGAGCTCGAGGGAGGGGTGGGGTGGGGGGAGCGGACGGGCGGGGCCTGCATGCTGCCCCCAAGTCACAGTATCGCCACGTCACAAAGCGAAGGGCCGCGCGAGCCCCTGGAGCTGCCCCGTTAAGAAAGTCTTGGCAATTCAAGGATATTTAGTAGAGAAGTGATAGTTGAGAAATAAAACAAACCCGATGAACACAAAATGCCCTGCTGCAGACCCTGGGAGGCCTGCCCAGGCCCGGGAGGGCTGAGGACCCTTCCGGAACCCGGGGACACCTGGCCCCTGGCTGGGCCCCGGGGGACCGGCCCGGCCCCACGCCTTCCTGGGGACACTCTGTCACGCCGTCATCGGAAAAGGATCTCAGTAACGGACCGAGGCCGTCCCCCCTGAACACGGAGCCTCCGTGCACCTGGCTGGGGGAGGCTGGGCGTGGCCGCAGACCAGGCTGCTCCGAGGCCAGGGTCCCTCCTCCCCCGCCTTTCTGCACCGGGAACCTGGGGGCGGCGGCAGCGGCGGCAGGGGGGCTGCTGCGTGCCAGCGTCCCCGGGCAGGCCCCCAACGCCTCGTTGGAAAGTTGCATCCAGACAGGCTGCTTGTAATTTTATTAAGGCCGTTTTTTCAAAAGTTCTACATACAAGTCTAATGGTAATCAAACTCTCCTATGTACATGTAGTTGTTCTTTAAAAAAAAAATAAAGAAAGAAACCGTCCCCACTCTCTGCCCCCGGCCTGTCGCGGTAAAGAGTTTCAAGAAAGCCTTTGTCCTGGCCAGACTCGAGTGGCCGTCCGTCCGGCCACTCCGACTTGCGCCAACAGAGAGGGACGGTCAGTCCCTAGGACCGAACCTGGCTCCCGGGGACGGACGAGATCCAGGACACCACGAAGAAACGCACCACGCAGAAGGCGCCAGCCCGGCGGCGGCGGGCGGAGAAGCCAGCAAGAGCAACGAGACGCAACGGGGAGAGGGGGCGGCAGGAAAGCCGCTCCCGTTCCGGAGTGGCCGGCAGACAGAAAACCGAGCCAGCCCCGACGCCCCCCTGGCGGGGCCCGTGCTACGGCGGAGGGAAGGTCTGGGGTGGTCCCCAAACGCCTGCCACCCCAGCCTTGGAGGAGCTTCTAGAACCTGCCACGAGAACACACACTGCCGGCTGCCTCCCAGTGGAGCCCGCTGACCACAGCTCGGAGCTGCCGGGAAGGAGCGACTGTCCCCGTGGGCGGGCGGGGTCAGGAGCTGCGGGGTCGGGTGGGGAGGGGCGGCATGCCAGCCCTGCCCTGATTCTCTGGGTGGACCAGAAAGAAGACAGCCTCCTCTCAGGGGGCACTCGCTTCCCCCAACACCCTCGGTGGCTGGGGGGGTTGTCTTGGGGTCTCCGACAGGCCCAGGAAAACCGGTGAGCGCCTTCCAGGACGGGCGGGTGGGGCTGGTCTCCGGAAGACCCTCAATAAAAGCAGAGGCTCCGTCCCGGAAGTCGGCCGGGTGTCAGCCCAGGCCGCTCCGGCCGGCGCAAGCTTCTGCCGCCCCCGGCCGCCCCCCGCCCCCCGCCGGTCCCGTGGCTCTTCGACAACTTAGGGCGACACTCAGAGGCCGGGCGGGCGCAGACGGCGGCTGGGCGCGTCACTGGCATTTCTGGTTAGCTTAAAAAATAGGTAAGGTGGGATTTCTGGAATAAAAACATGCTCTCAGGCAGGCGCTGGGCAGAAGGGTCCGGCGACCGGTCTACGACCAAAATGCAAATGCAAACAGAAAGGAAGAAGCACGACGAGATTTCCCCGGCTGCCTCCCGCCACCCCGTAAATAACAGTGCCGGGGGACGGTGCCGGGGAGCTCGGCGCGGGGCAGAGGGGGACATCCAGCTTGGCCCCGAGTCCCGGCCACCCGGCCACCCTGTGCGGCCCCGGCGGCCCTCCGTCCCGGCGGGGGGCTCCACGGTAAGGGCGGCCACCGAGGGACCTGCCCAGCGGTGAGGCAGGCCCGGTGACAGTGACGGAAGGGGTGAGGAGGGGCTCGGGGGGTCCCTGCACGCTGTTCTCTGGGCACCCGCCGGGCCGGCCAGCGCCGAGTGTGCTCAGAAATATAGAAGACGGCCGTCAAAACAGTGTTTATTTCGCTTTGCGACCACCCCTCGCTCCTCTGGCGCCTACGCCCCGGGCAGGGCCGGGTCGCTCTCTGCCTGACCGCGGGCTGGGGTGGCGGGGGACGGGGGGGACCGAGAAAGGCAGTGAGAGCTGGACAACAGTCGGAAAACGCACCTCGGACCGTGCGTGCCCCGCCCCGCGCCCGCCGCCGCCCCGCGGGGGGCTGAGCAGGAGCCGGCGGCGCGGGGAGGGTCTTGGGGGGCGGGGGGCTCACAGCCTCCGATCCATGGATCCCAGCCCGGCTGGCTCGGGCGGGCGGGCGGCGGGAGGCCGGGCGGCGGGCGGCTGGCGGGGGCGCTGGGCGTTTGCAAGCTCAGAATCACAAGCTCGGCCGTGGCGAGGGGCGAGCGCGGCCGTCCCCGGGCTGGGGGCGCCGTGGGGGCCGCCGGGCGGCGGCGGGGTGCCGGGCGTGCCCGCTCACAGACGGTCCATCCGGAAGGTGTCCTCGGTGGCCGGGTCGGCCAGGACCATGTCGGGGTCATTGAGCATGTGCAGTCCGTCCAGGGTCAGGGGGTCGATCTTGAGCTCGTCCAGCGGGAACTGGCTGTCCGAGTCGAAGCTGACGTCCCCGACGCCCGCCAGGGAGCTGGTCAGCTCTTTGGAGAGGCTGGGGGGGGACTCTCCCGTCACTGGGGGACAGAAGGCCGGCTTAGCCCGCGCCGCGGGCCCGGACTGGCACGGGGCCTCTGACCACGTCTGGGGACACCCTGGCGGTCGGGACCGGGGGAGAGGACCCACGCGGCGCCCGGTGAGTGGGGTCGGGGTGCCCCTTGGGGGTTCCACCATGCAGCACCGGGCGAGTGACCGGCTCCGTCCTAAGCACAGGGCGCCGGCGTCCGGCCCAGGATTCTCCCTGGCCTATCCGGAAAAGCCCCAGGGGGAGCCAGGCCGGGGGTGGGCAGGGCTCTGGCTTCCTTGCCCCCCCCAAGCGCAGGGACTCGGCCTCAGTGCCGGCCGGGCTCACCTGTGAGGATGATGTTGGGGATGCCGCCGTGGCCAGGGTAGCCCAGCTGCTGCGCGTCCGCCAGGCTGCCGTGGCTGCCCGTGAGGCCCATCATGGCCGCCTGCGAGTAGTTGAGGGTGGAGCCGGGGCTGTACAGGCTGCTGGAGCTGATGGCGTTCTCCATCATGTTGAACTGCTCCAGCTGCGGGGAGCGCCGGCCGTGAGTGAGGACCGGCCCTGGCCCCGCCCAGCCGGCCGCCGCCCCGAGACTCGCCCGCACCGGGTCTGCCAAGCACAGACCCCCCAACCCCAGACGGATGAGCCAGCGAGTGACCGGCTCCAGGTCACCGCCAAGCCCTCCCTCCCGCGCCCGCAGGCTCCCGGTCCGGCCTCCACGCAAAGCCAGCACGACCCCCAGCAGACCCGCGTGCCCTGCCCTGCCCTGCCCTGCCCTGCCCGGGGTTTGCCTGCCCTTCTCCCTGCTCCGCCCTGGGCCTCCCTTCCCCGGCCAGGTGCCCAGGCCTCGCAGGGCAGGGCAGGGCAGGGTAGGGCAGGGCGAGACACCCCTGCAGCCCGCGGACGGACCAACAGGGAGCTGCAGAGCAGAGCCGAGGGTGGGTGGGCCCCCGAGCCCGTGCGGCCTGACCCGCGGGGCCCCGGTCCCTGAGAGTGTCCGTTGGCCCTGGGCACCGGCTGGCCAGCGGCCGGGTGCCAGCTCACCTGGTGGGACAGGGCATTGGCCTGCCTGGCCGCCATCTGCTGCTCGTAGTACGCGTCCCCGAACACGCTGCCCAGGGTGGAGTGCTGCGGGCGGAAGACAGGCCGGCTGCGGTCGAGGCCCTGAGGCCGGGCGGGGACCCGGCGCCCCCAGACCCGGCCGGAAGGGACCCCCCGGAGGACGCTTGGGAAGCGGGAGCCTGATGACATCCCTCTTGAGGTTCCTGGGGCGCCCCTCGGCCCCAGGTGACAGCTTTTGTCCGCCGCCTGCTCCTGGGGGCCTCTGTGCCCCGACGTCCCCCCAAACCGCCCTCCCCACCTCTCTGCCCCAGCCAAGGCGAGGGGGGCCCCTGTCCGTCACGTGCACGGTGGGGGCCCGGGACGAGGAACCCCCACCCAGAGAAGAGCTCGTCACTGGGGCCGAGGCGGGAGGTACCCGGTGGGACGTTATGTTCAGGACAGCAGCCCCCCCAAGGCCTCCCTGGGAAGACGGGGGACAGGACGAGGTCCACACACACAGACAGCACATGGAGCTGGTGGAGCACGCACGGGACAGGCCCAGGGACAGCCCTGCCCGGCCGCCTGCCCACGGGGACCCGGCCTGCTCCTGCTATCCGAGGCCGGCCGGGGCTCTCGGAGGCTGGGGGGCAGGGGATGTCCCTGGCACCACGGCCGCCCCCAGGGTTCCCATGTCAGGCGTGTGACCTCCAGGCCTCCCGGTAACCGCCTCCACAGACCACAGTCCTGGCGCCCCCCTTCTGAACTTTGCTCTAGAAAGATTTCCACGAGCTGGGACACCCCGAAGCTTGAGTCTTGGGCCTCAGTCCCAGAGAGGAGGGGCTGGACACAAACCCACTGGCCGTCGCTCTGGGCCGGGGGCGGGAAGAGACACCCCAGCGGGTGAGGGCTCGTGCACCTGGACAGTCCCATTCAAACAGGGGGAAAGGCTTTAAAAAGTAACCAGGGCCCAGCCTTGGTGGCTCCATGCCCTGGCATCCCAAGCACTCTGGAGCCGAAGCAGGAGCGACGCCGAGGCAGAAGTTCGAACCAGCCTGAGCAAGAAAGGGAGACCCCTGTCTCCACAAAAATAGAAAGAAATAATGGCCAACTAAAACTATGTAGAAAAAAATACCGGGCATGGTGGGCGCATGCCTGTAGTCCAGCTACTTCGGGAGGCTGAGCAGGAGATCGCTTAGCCCAGGAGTTGGAGGTTGCTGTGAGCGAGGCTGATGCCACGGCACTCTAGCCTGGGTAACAGTGTGAGGCTCTGTCTCAAAAAAACAAAAAAAGTGAACCAAAGAAGGGCAAGTTCAAAAATTCTGCCTTGGCCCTAAAAACCAACAGCTTCAGACTTTGGACATGAGGTCACACGTTTGTGGCTTGGTTTACCCAAGAAGAGGGACGTGAATGATGGGTAATTCACGCCGGCTACTGCAGACCTTGTCCAAGGCTGCGGGCAGGGCTCAGGGCTCTGGGTGGGGCTGGGCCTTCGAGATGCACCGATCTCGTCCCCACGGCCTTGTACTCAGAGAGGCCCGGCACAGGCACGGGACAGAGGCTGTGGCTCCTCTTGCCAGGCTGCCAAGCAGGTTTGCCGTAAAGATCAGCTCAGGGCCGGGTGATCCCAGCACTCTGGGAGGCCGAGACAGGAGGATCGCTCAAGCTCAGGAGTTTGAAACCAGCCTGAGCAAGACAGAGACCCCGTCTCTACTAAAAATAGAAAGAAATTAGTTGGCCAACTAAAAATATAGACAAAATATAGACAAAAAATTAGCCAAGCATGGTGGCGCATGCCTGTAGTCCCAGCTACTTGGGGGAAGGCTGAGGTAGGAGGACCAATTGAGACCAGAAGTCTGAGGTTGCTGTGAGCGAGGCTGACGCCACGGCACTCACTCTAGCCCAGGCAACAGAGCCAGACTCTGTCTCAAAAAAAAAAAAAAAAAAAAAGATCAGCTCCGCAGGAAGGAGGCAGCTGCACCTGGGACCAAATTTCAGCTGCCCCAAGGGCCAGGGCCTGGCTGGGGTGGGCCAGGCGTGGTGGGCACGGCCAGGCTGGGCGGAGGCGGCTGCCCCACGAACCCCCCAGGCAGACAGGGGCCGGGAGGCGTGGGGGGCCTGGGCTTCTTGTGGGGCCCATGAGCAGGTCCTCAGAGACCCAGCCGCAGAGGGGGCCTGGAACATTCTGCCCCAGAGAGAGTCCCTGCTTCCCACGTCTGCACCCGACAGACGGCAGACACACAGACACGGGCCGACAGGGACAGCCACCTGCTCTCTGCCCGCCGGACCGACCGGCTCTGATCTGGGGACAGAGAAGGAACCGACCACCCAGGCGGCCGGACGCCTGTCCCGCTCGGCCGCCACCCGGGACTCCGCCCCACACCAGGCTGCCCACCTGGGACCGGCCCCACCTGCCGCTTCTCCTGCAGCACCAGCGCCCCCCCCCCCACAGCGCCACCTGACGGGACAGTCGAGAGCTCACGGGGGGTGGGGAGTGGGGGAGTTGGGGAGGGGGGTGGACCGAGCATGCGCAGACACCAGGCGCCCCCGTGCGCCCCGCCCTCCCCCTGCCTGCGGGGCGGGGCTGCAGGAGGAGGTGGGGGGGTCCTGGGCAGCTGTCCCCCCACAGCACTGGGAGCTGGACACCGGGGACCGAGGGGCCCGCCTGCCCTTGCCTGTGGTGCCTCTGGGCAGGCGCCCTGCCTGGGACGAGGAGTCTGACCTCTGACCTCATTCCTGGGGGGACAGTGGCACCTGCCCTCCGCCGGCGCAGGGCTCCGGGCCGCCTCTCAGCGAGGTGACGCTTTGGGGCTGGGGCGCCCGGGGTGGCGGGGCCCTGGGGGGCGCTGCGGCAGGGCGAGAGGGCGGGGGCTGCGGGCGCCCCTTCTCCCCGACCGACCGCGGGCTCTGCGGGGACTGAGGCCGGACGCCGGGGCAAGGCCCAGGCAGAGCCGCCCGAGCCGGGCGTGGACGTGGGAGGGCCCGGGCACCCGACCGCGGGGTCCAACCGCGCCGGCGTGGCGGGAGAACGCAAGCCTGCCGGATGAGGCCCCGCCAGTCACCCGGGGGCCTGCCTCAGTCTCCACATCCGTGGGATGGGGACAAGGGCCCCGAGACGCTTCCTGAACGGGGGTCCTGGTGGCGAAGGGACACGCCTTCCTGCGGGTGGGCGGGGGCTGCGGGGCGGGGCCCCTCCCTCCACCTCGGGGAGCCCAAGTTCAAGGCTGCGGGGCTCCCGCTCTGGACGGCGGCCCGGGCGGATCCGGGGTGTGGAGAGGCATCACTACCGGGCGCCCAGTGTGGACACCAGGCGTGGCCGCCACAGGGCCGCTGCCACTACTACCGCCACTACACGGAGTGAGTCGCCCCCCCCAGCTGGTGCTTGGCGGGACCACGGAGAACCAAGGAACCTGCCTGCACCACCCTCCCCAGTCCCCCCTGCAGCCTGGTGGGTGCGCAGCTCTGGTCAGAGGGAGCGGGCGGGAGGGTGGAGTGAGGCGCGAGGCAGGGACAGCGGGGTGTGGGCGGGGCGGGCGGCGGGGTGTGGGCGGGGCGGGGTGGCGTCCCTTACTTGTGGGGAGCTCCCGGGGGAGAAGCCTTGATTGGAGACTGGCGAGGTGGGAGACTGGTTGGCCGGGGAGCCGGCGCTCGTGCGGTACTGCTGCAGCGCCGGTGCCTGCGAGGATAGCGGGTCAGGGCGCGGCGGGGGCCGGGGTCCAGTCCCCGCCTCCCGGGAGCGGCCTGTGCCTCGGGGACCCCCCCAGCAGGCCCCGCTCAGATGTCTGGGGGACCGGTGCCACCCTGCGGGGAGCTGGACCCTGGGCAGCTGCAGGAAGGCGGGTCCCTGAGCCCTGCCGGCTCCCGGAAGGAGTGGCATGGAGGGGAGGGGCGCGAGGACACGGCACCCAGTCCCGCAGGGCTGCGGGGGGACCGGAGGGCTGGCCTCCGCTCAGCAGGCCCCAGAGCCGGACGGCAGCCTGTGCACACGCACACAGTGACACCCACACACGTGCACACAAATCTGCATGTGTATACACGCACGCACACGTATGCACATCACACACACCCGCACCCACCCACGCGTGCACACCCACACATGGGTGCACACACCTGCATCTGTATACCACACATGCATGCACATCACATACACCTCCACCCACGTGTGCACACCCACACATGGGTGCACACACCCGCATCTGTATACCACACATGCATGAACATCACATACACCTCCACCCACGTGTGCACACCCACACATGGGTGCACACACCTGCATGTGCACACGCACACACACATGCATATCACATACTCCTGCACCCACCCACGCATGCACATCCACACGGTCACACACACCCACATGCACATCACATACTCCTGCACCCTCCCACGCATGCACATGCACACGGTCACACACACCCACACGTGCATACACACACACGCACATCACATACACCTGCACCCTCCCACGCGTGCACACCCACACAGGGCGAACACCCACGCACGGCCACCCAGGCGTGCTGCCTTCTGCCCCTGCCTGCCCTCGCTGTGCCCTGGCTCTCAGCCCACGCCGGCAGCCCTGCCCGCCCACACCTACACCGCGGCCCCGGGCCGCTTCCCTGCCACCCTCAGCCCGGAGAGGCCTACGAGGGGCAGCTGCCTCCTCGACCGCTCGCAGGACAGGGGCCGGCTCCTCGCTGCGGGGACCTGCCCCTCGGAGGCCCGGCCAGGCTGGGACCTGGAGTCAGACCTCGCTGCGGCCCTGCCCTGCCGGGCGCCTGCGAACAAGCTGCCTGGCCTTCTGGCCTGCTGGTCACGGAGGCCCGGCCAGCCGGCACAGGGCCCCGCGATGGCTCCGTCCCCCCGTTTCCTCAGTGGCCCTAAGCAGCTCGGGGGGCTGAGTCCGGGCGGGGCAGAGGCAGGGCGGAGGGGTCAGGCTCGCTCAGCAGTGGGCTGGTGGTGGAGGCGCCAGCGTGGTCGCCCGTGTGACCTGCTCGGGCCGTGGGCAAGGAGGGAGAGCGCCCTCCCCGGCGAGCCTGCGCGGAGCCCGCTCTGACCCGGCAGCCCTGGCAGGGGCCGCCTCCCCACCCGGCGTCTCCCAAGCCGGCCGGCTCCAAAGCAGGGCCTGTGCTCGGAGCCTCGCCGGCACCTGCCTGGCCCTTTCTTCCCGGGGAGCCTGGCTGGGCCTCCGGGGGTCAGAGCAGCTGACCGTCTGCGGCTGCGTGGGGGACCCCCCTGTGCTCCCCGACGCAGGCAACAGTAGCTGTGACCCCTCGTCTGCCCCCGCCTAGCAGCCGGGATGAACGTCCGGACAGGCGGAAGGTTTGCGGGAACAGGGGCGCAAGCCCAGCGCTGAGCCTGGGCCTGGGGAGGGGGCCCCCCGGGCTGAGCTGCAGCCTCCTGTGCCCGGATGCCCCCGACACTCGAGCCCCACAGGGGCTGGCTCTGTCCTTCCTTCCCCCCTGAGTTCCAGTGGGTCCCCCCTGGCCCCTGAAGTCTGTTCCCCGACCCCGGGAGATCTCTCTGGCTCCCAGGAAGCCTGGCTTCAGGGAGGGGCCGCAGTGACCGAGAGCGTGTGCTTAGCAGCCGGACGCTGCGTGGAGTCTGTGGGGAGTCTGGGGCCTGGCCACTCGCTTTCGCCTCAGTCTTCCCATCTGCACAATGGGCCACAATCCCAGCTAGCAGCCCCTGAGGAGTGCCCGCTCTGGGGCAGGTCTGCCCCGGCCCCCCAGCCCCGGCCGTCCTCGTGCTCCCCGAGCCCCCCCCGCCGGGCCCCCGGGGCCCCCCCACGCTGGGCTTACCGAGGCGATGTCGATGCCCATCGGCGGCTGGCCCGGGCTCTCCGCGGGGGACTGGGGGAGAGAGGACGGGACCGTGACCGCGAGCGGGGGTGGCTGTGGCCCCCGCGTCAGGCTGGCGCTCGGCAGCAGGGGGCCACCCGGGGGCAGGTGGACGGGGGCCTGCGGGGCTGGCGGCGGCGGCTGGGACGCGGGCGGTGGCGGTGGCGGCGGGGGCTGGGGCTGGGGCGGCGGCTGGGAGCCGGCCTGGGCGAAGAAGGCGTAGGGCAGCTGCTGCTCCAGAGACAGGGCGTCCATGGCTACCGCCTGGCGGGAGAGGGGGCGTCAGGCGGGCCCGGCTACGCAAGCCTGCGCCCCGAGGGCCCCGCGGTGGCCAGGAAGCTGAGGCCGGTGAGGACGGGCAGGCGCTGGACCGGGCCTGGCGCCCAACCCGCCGTCCGGACCCCGACGGGCCTCACCACCCGCAAAGCTCGGGCAGCCTCCGCCGCGGCAGGGCGGGCACGGGACCCACGCTAGCTGGCTGCGTGGCGGCCAGCCCCACGGCTCTGGGGTCCCGCCAGGGAGGGACGCGCTTGCCTGCTCTGGGGACGCTGTGGAGGATGGGCTGACGGGACACGAGCGTGGGGCCCGCGGGGCTGGCAGGCAAGAGGGGCTCCTGGGTGTTCAGGGGCGTTGGGGACTCACAGCCGCGGGGGGGGGGGGGGAGGCGGCGCGGCGGGGCTCCGCATGCCCTGAGGCTGGCCGTGCCAGGAGCCCCGGCGCAGGGGCACGTGTGGGCGACTGGCCGCAAAGGAGCAGGGATCGCCCATGAGCGAGAGGGGCGTCCAGACGGGGCAGGAGCCACAGATGGACACGGGCCAGCTCGCGGACACGGTGCCCGCAGCCCTGTGCGCGTCGTGACAGGGACACGCTGACAGGCCGGCACAGACTCGGAGCGTGAGACGTCGGGGCGGGGTGGGGCAGCCTGGTCCAGGCCTCGGAAGGTCTGGAGGAATCACTGTGGTTTTTTTTTTTTTTTTTTTTTTGAGGCAGAGTCTCACTCTGTTGCCCAGGCTAGAGTGAGTGCCTGGCGTCAGCCTCGCTCACAGCAACCTCAAACTCCTGGGCTCAGCGATCCTCCTGCCTCAGCCTCCCGAGTAGCTGGGACTACAGGCATGCGCCACCATGCCCGGCTCATTTTTTTCTATGTATATGTTAGTCGGCCAATTAATTTCTTTCTATTTATAGTAGAGACGGGGTCTCGCTCTTGCTCAGGCTGGTTTGGAACTCCTGACCTAGAGCAATCCACCGCCAGAGTGCTGGGATGACAGGCGTGAGCCACCTCGCCCGGCCAGGAATCACTGCTAATGTCACTGGTGGTGGACAACGCCACTGAGATCATGTCAAAAACAATCGGGTTGCCCGGTACGGTGGCTCACGCCTGTGATCCTGGCACCTCGGGAGGCCAAGGAGGGAGGATCGCTTGAGCCCAGGGGTTGGAGGTTGCAGTGAGCTATGACTGGCCCACTGCACTCTAGCCAGGCGTGACAGAGTAAAGACTCTGTCTTAGGAGTCAAAAAAAACAAGGATTACGAAAGGGTACTACGAGCAACTGCACGCCAGCAAGCTGGACAGCGGAGATGAGTTGGCCAAGTTCCTAGACGCGCACAAACTACCAACGAAAAGTCGATGAAGCAAACATGGCAGATGAAAACAATAAAAGCTAAACTCTCTACTCAATTTATTATGGAAAATTCGACTAGATCCCTAAGAAGAGGCCCAGTCACACCCAGAACAAGGCAAAGGCCACCGGGTCTACCAGTGACTGGGCATTTGAAAAAAAAAAATTTTTTTTTTGAGACAGAGTCTCACTCTGTCGCCCGGGCTAGAGTGCCATGGCGTCAGCCTTGCTCACAGCAACCCCCAACTCTTGGACTCAAGCGATCCTCTTGCCTCAGCCTCCCGAGTAGCTGGGACTACAGGCATGCGCCACCATGCCCGGCTCATTTTTTTCCAGATGTTTTTAGTTGGCCAATTAATTGCTTTCTATTTTTAGTAGAGACGGGGTCTCGCTGTTGCTCAGGCTGGTCTCGAACTCCTGACCTCGAGCGATCCTCCCGCCTCGGCCCCCCAGAATGCTAGGATTACAGGCGTGAGCCACCGCGACCGGCCTGAAAATCTGATAATAAACATTAAAGGCGTTGGGAGCGTTCTCAAGACCCCGCGGCCCCCCTGGAAGGAGCAGGGGGCCCTCCAGAGAGGCACAGCCGGGCCCCCACCTTTCCCACCCACGTGCCCCCACTTCGCCCTCAAACCTGAGTGATGGGTGACAGCGGGGACAGGGTGGGTGACGTCTGCTGCCGCCGTGCCTCTGTGCTCAGGGACAGGGGGCTGACGCCGGCCGGGCGGTGCTGGGGCGAGGAGCCGGGCGTGCTCATCCCTGCAGAGGAGGGAGGAAGGGGAGGGGTGTGTGTGAGGCGGGACCAGCGAGGACAGGCCCGCACACCGTGTGGAACAGACAGAAGCCAGGGGGCATGACCCCACTGCCAAACCTGGGACGCCCCCTCGGAGGCCCCAGTTCCTGACCCTGGGGCCCCACAGGCTCTCCAGCTGGGGAGTGTCCCACAGACCCAGCCAATCAGCGCTTCCCCCATTCTGGAACGTGATTGGCCCCCCCCCAGATGGGCATGTGACCAGGCTGGTCCAATCAGAGCCTGCCCAGGGACTTTGGATGGAATTTCAGGAAGTGCCGTCTAAAGCTGTCGGGGGCACCCTGTGACCACCAGGCAGGAGCTGGCTGAAGACCTGAGGAGGGCAGAGGTAGCACCAGAGACCATCCAGCCTCCTCACAACTCTCTGCTTTCAGGAAACATCAATTCCCCTTTGCTTGAACCGGCGTGGGCTGCAGTTAGCTTCAAGCATGTAGGTCCCACCCAGCACTGCGGTTTCCTCTCCCGCCTCGCAGCTCTCTTGCCCCTTTCGACGAACGTGTCCACGCCTGCAACTGCCCCTCTTGGCCCCCAGACTTGTGGCCCAGCCCGTGTGCTCCTCCCCCCATCCTGTGTGCTCCCCAGGCGGGAGCGCTGCCCCCCAGGGCTGCCTGAACTGCAAAACCCTCCTTAGCATTCTTCCCCTCCCTGCCCGAGTCGGACGTACTGGTTCCTGCAGGAGCAGGAACCGCTGGATTCCAGCGCGGTGAGGGAGCTGGGTGAGGCGGAGTTCACGAGGGCGGCAGTCGGGGCCTGCCGGCCTACCCTCGGGCACCACGCCAGGGAGGCAACAGGCCCCCAGATGGTGGGGGAGCCCTGGGGGCCTGGCCTGACCCCAGCCTACCCCTGAGACCCAGGTTCCCGGTTGGCAAGATGAAGACGATAACAGCCGCCCTCCCCGGCTCCACGCGAGGCCCCGGTGAGGTCATGAGCGTGCTCTGAGTCTGGCCCACAGTCAAAGCCGGCGAAGCCACCGAGCCACCGCAGGTCTGGGCCCATCCTGCCGAGGGCACCAAATTAACCCTGTTCCGGCGGCTGGGCCGGCTGGGGCGTGGCCCGAGGGATGAGCCCAGGGCAGCTGCTGGCAGGGCGAACTCGGTCACGCCCGCGCTTCCTGTCGGGCGCCCGGTGGCTGAGTGCTGGGGGTGGGGGGGAGGCCTGGCACCGTCGAATGCCCCCGGGGCAGGGAGGGCTCCGGTGCTGGCCTCCGTGCAGACCTGGGCGTCAGAACCGGTGACGTGGACAGACGCACCCAGAGGCCTGGGCGGGAGTGGGGAGACGCCCACTGGGGGCACAGACAGTCGGGGCCGGGGCCGCCCCCTTTCTCCTCGGGAGGGGCCGCTGCTGCAGGCGCCCAGCAGGCCGAGGGGCGCAAGATGCCCGGGTCAGAAGCAGGTGTCGGGGCCTGGCGAGTGGCAGAACCAAATGCCAGGGGAAACGACCCAGTGCCCGTCAATCTGTGAGTGGATTCGTAAAACGTGGTCCATGTACACCACGGAGCACTACTCGGCTCTAAGAAACAACGGTGATCTAGCACCGCTTGTATTTTCCTGGATACAGCCGGAGCCCGTTCTACTAAGTGAAGCATCTCAAGAATGGAAAAACCAGCACCCCGTGGACTCACCGGCAAATCGGTATTAACGGAGCAGCACCTCAGTGGACACACAGGAGTAACATCCATCGGGTGTCGGGAGGGCGGGAGGGGGAGGAGGGGACGGGTATACACAACCACGAGTGAGATGTGCAGCGTTTGGGGGATGGACACACTTGAAGCTCTTACTTGGGGGGAGAGGAGCATGGGCAATAAATATAACCTTAAGACTTATACCCCCAAAATACACTAAATTAAAAAATATATATAGAAAAATTATTTAAAAAACCAAGCAAATGCCAGGAGGGTGCGGCTGTGGGGCAACGGGGCGGGTGGGACACTCTTCATCATCCGCTGCCTGGGACATGGATCCGCCACTGGGCCTCCTGATTCTGCAAGAGCAGCTGGAGGCCGGGCGCGGAGGCTCACGCCCGTCATCCCAACACTCTGAGAGGCCGGGGCGGGAGGATTGCTCAAGGTCAGGAGTTTGAGACCAGCCTGAGCAAGACCGAGACCCTGTCTCTACCAAAAACAGAAAGAAATTAGCTATGACAACTAAAATATAGAAAAAAAACTCAGCCGGGCATGGTGGCGCATGCCTGCAGTCCCAGCTACTCGGGAGGCTGAGGCAGGAGGATCGCTTGAGCCCAGGAGTTGGAGGTTGCTGTGAGCGAGGCTGACGCCACGGCACTCACTCTAGCCTGGGCAACAGAGCGAGACTGCCTCGAAAAAAATAAATAAAAACCAAAAATAAAAACAAAAAATCACGGCATCATGATCCGATGGGACCACCCCTGTATACGGGGTCCGTGGTCAGCTGACAGGTCACCCCGCGGCCCGTGACCACATCTCAGACGCACAGCCATGGGCCGCACGACACACACCCCTGGGCTGGATCCGGCCCGTGGGCTGCGGGTCTCTCCCCCGAACACAAAAGAGTTTTGGTTCTCCGCTGGGCTGCAAAGCGAGCCCTCGCCACCCCTGGAGAGGCCGATGGGCCCAGGCGGCGGGCGGCGCCTTGCTGGTGGATTTCTTTTGGCAACCTGGTCACCTTCGGCAACGGGCGCAGAGCCAGCTGGAGGGGAAGTCTGGGGCTGGCGGGCGGCTGGGCCAGGTGGCAGGGGCCGTGCAGGCGGGGGGACCCAGGGCCCGCCCCCTCCCACACCGGCCGGCAGCCAGGGACGGGCCTGGGCGCCGTGCAGGCAGCGGGGCGGGGCGGGTGGGGGGCTCCCGCTGACTAGCAGGCGGACTGGGGGGCTGGGTGCAGCCCCGGGTGGGCCAGCGGCTCTGCTCGATGTAAAAGGCGCCCGGAACGCGCAGCCCCTGCCCGGCGGGCCGCCCGGGCGGCAGGTCCACAAACAACCGACACATGTCAGACATTACCGGCCGCGTTCACATGTGTTGTGCGTTTCCCCGCGCTTGTTTAGACTGGGCGCGGGCTGGAGGTGCGGCTCCTGGGTGGGCGCCAGGCGGGGGCTGCCAGGGACCCTCAGCGGGGAGGAGGGGTGCCCTGGAGGCCTGGGGAGCGGGAGGCGGGAAACGGGGCTGGGAGACGCGGCCCGGCCCGCCCCGGGTCAGGGGGCACCTGCGGCTCCCAGTGGCCCTCCGGCCTGCCCCTCCGCACAGGCCTGTGGGGACGCCGCCTGCCTGGCTTTCGGGGGGCTGTGCTTCCTGGCCCTTCCCTGGCGTTCTCTGAGCCCCGCGGGCGGGCGCAGGGCCAGGGCACCGGAGACAGAACGCGGCCTCCACGCACCCAGGCCGGGCCGGCTTCCGGCTCCGCTCTGGCCTCCACGCCTGGTCTAGAGCCCAGAGGGCGGGCTCCGTCCTCCAGGCCCCCGGGCCGGCCCGGCCCCAAAGGCATCAAAGCCGGCAACTCTGGACACCCCCACTCTCCCCGCTGCCTGCATCGGCCCGGCCCCAGAGCCCGCCGGTTCCGTCCTGGGGTCCCCTGCAGAGCACCAGGCTGGGGTCCTGCCCTGCCCCGGATGCAGCCCCTTCTCCCCCGCGTGGCCACAGGGACTTGGCCGGGCGCACGCTCACACGTGACCGCTATCTCTCGGAAAACCATCACGGCCGCCTGCCCGGCCTGGTGGACGCAGGAGGGGCTGGGCCAGCCTGTTCTGGGACGGGACGGAGCCTCGTCCAGGTGGCCCATGTTGCTCCCACCCCCTGACGTGCCCCTCCCCCGCCCTCTGCCTGTGCCACCACCTGGGGCCGGCTGAGGACACCGATGTCCCCTCCTTAGAAGCCAGACGTCTGCTGCACCCAGACGCCGTCCAACACACCATACACGGACGGGACAGGGTGCAGAGCGCAGAAACGGGACGCAGTGCAAGGCCGGGGGCCAGGGCAGCCTCACGGGAGGGAAGTGGGGCAGGTGAGGGAGGGGCCTGCGCTGGAGGACGGCACGTGCAAAGGTCCTGGGGTGGGGTGGGGGTGGGGCAGCGCTGGGACTCCAGCTCAGAAGACGGAGGGTGAACTGTGACCCGCTACCTGGGCGCCCGGGTGCTGGGCTCTCACTGAGGGGGTGGGGCTGGGGTGCAGGCGGGGTCCTGGGCTCTCACTGAGGGGGCCGAGGGTGCAGGCGGGGCTGGGGGGGACGCACTGGCTCGGAGCACAGAGGGGCCCTGAGCTGACAGAGGCCATTCTGGGTGAAGGAGGGCTGGGGCCCTGGGGCAGGGGTGCAGGTGGGGGCGGGGCTGGGGGCAGGGCCAGGGTGCAGGCGGGGTCCTGGGCTCTCACTGAGGGGACGGGGCCGCGGGTGCAGGCGGGGCTGGGGGAGGCACTGGCTGGGAGCACGGAGGGGCCAAGAGCTGACAGAGGCCGTTCTGGGTGAAGGAGGGGCCGTGGCCGGGGGAGCGTCTGGGTTGGGCCAGGTCCTCACAGTGGGAGCGGCCGGACACGAGGACGATGGGATTGGGGGGACAGGAGAATTGAGGGGGACGCTGCAGCCGGAGGGGGCCGCCCTAGGAGGGTCTCCGGGGGGCGCAGGGTCATCAGTGCTGGGAGCCAGCGCACGGCGGGTGGGGGGCCTGGGCAGGGCCACGCGGTGCCCCCGCGGGTGCCAGGCGGAGGCAGGAGCACAGTGGGGGCAGCGATATCCGCGCCACGAGGAGCGGGCACAGCCGGACATGGGGGGGGTCCCGCCTGGTGGGGGCTGGGAGTGGGGAGGGCAGAGGGAAGGCCTGGCCTGGGCCGGCTGCACCCCACAGGGCTCCCCAGCCTCCCTCTGAAGCCCCAGGCACGGCCCCAACCCTCCTTTTTTTTGTTTTTGAGACAGTCTCACTCTGTTGCCCGGGCTAGGGTGAGTGCCGTGGCGTCAGCCTAGCTCACAGCAACCTCAGACTCCTGGGCTCAAGCGATCCTCCTGCCTCAGCCTCCTGAGTAGCTGGGACTACAGGCATGCGCCACCATGCCCGGCTAATTTTTTGTACATATATTAGCTGGCCAATTAATTTCTTTCTATTTATAGTAAAGATGGGGTCTCACTCTTGCTCAGGCTGGTCTCAAACTCCTGACCTCCCACCTCGACCTCCCAGAGTGCTGGGACGACAGGCGTGAGCCACCGCGCCCGCCCCGGCCCCACACGCTTACACCCGCGATCTGACCCCACCTGGGGCCGTGTGCTCCGCCTGGAACCCCCAAGCCCCTGACAGAGGGTCTCGGCCTCCCCACCCCCACCCCTCGGGGCGCCTGGCATCTGGGGCGTGACCCTGCCGACCGTCGCTAACCGGCGCCAGAAGGCGCCGTCCCCCGCACACACGGGCCTCACCCTGGCCGGCGCCGCCGATGCCCAGGTGCGTGAGCGTGGCCGCCAGGTTGCCGGTGCTGCCGGAGCTGCTCAGCGCGGGGAAGGGCGGCTCCTCGGGGTCCAGCGGGGTGGGCAGCGGGGACGGGAAGTGGATGTTGGTCAGGTCGGGCAGGGAGCCCCCCGTGTTGTGCGTGGCGGGGATCAGGGCCGCCGTGCTCTCCTGGTCCGCAGACGGGAAGATGCTGTGGAGAGGCCAGAGCGGGCAGTGAGTCCGGGGGCGGAGGCCGGGCCTCCCCGGGGGCGGAGTCGGCTGGGGTAGAGAATGGGGGGTGCAAGGTGATCCCCCTCAATAATGTTCTACCTGGACCAGGGCCTCAGAAAGCCCATTCCCAGGGAGGGGCCGGCACCCCCTGTGTGGGGGGGGGTCACCCCGGCAACAGGGCGGGTCTGAGGTGGGCCTGCGGGGAGCCCCGTCCTGGAGGGGCCAGCCCGGGCCCCAAAGCAGGGCTTGCTGGGTGGCCGCCTCTTTTTTTTTTAAGACAGAGTCTCCCTCTGTTGCCCAGGCTAGAGTGAGTGCCGTGGCGTCAGCCTCGCTCACAGCAACCTCAGACTCCTGGGCTCAAGCGATCCTCCTGCCTCAGCCTCCCGAGTAGCTGGGACTACAGGCATGCGCCACCACGCCTGGCTAATTTTTTCTATATGTTTTTAGTTGGCCAATTGATTTCTTTCTATTTTTAGTAGAGACGGGGTCTCGCTCTTGCTCAGGCTGGTTTTGAACTCCTGACCTGGAGCGATCCTCCCGCCTCGGCCTCCCAGAGTGCTGGGATCACAGGCGAGAGCCACGGCGCCTGCCAACGCCTCTTGCCAGGACCTGCAGCCCCACCAGGGCAGCAGGGAAGACCGGGGGAGGGGAACGGCACCGCCGAGACTTACTTGATTCCGGGGACCTCGCAGGACTTGGGCCTGGACCCCGTCTGCTGAAAGAGAAGACAGGAGAGGCTGAGCCGGGGCCTCCCCAGGCCGCGAGATGCTCCAGGGGACCCGAGCCTGGGGGTGTCGGGAGAGTGAAGGGCGGGGGCCCATGGGGGGGGCACGTCCGGGACCCGCCCGGGGCACGGCCGGGAAGTGTGCAGAGAGGGTCTCCTCCCCCAGTTCCTGGGGGCCGGCCCCACTCTGTCCGCCTTGTGGGGTGGGGTGGGCCCGGCCGAGGGCTGGCAGTCCCCGTATAAGCAGGGGTCCAGGACACTTGTGGGATTCGGCTCCGTGCACACCCCGGGGCTGTGGTGGTCAGCGGCCCGTCTGGCAGGGCCTGAGGGTCCCCAGTGCTGGGGCTCAGTGCCCCCCGCCCCCACCCCCTTCCTGGACCATGGCGGCAGAGGCTCCTGGGCAGGAGCGAACCCCAGCCTTAGGGCAGTGGCCTGGGCCCCACGCTCATGGCAGTGGGGGACACCAGGTCAGGGAGCCCAGCCAGGCCTGGACAGGATGCCCGGAGGCCGCGGCCCTGCCTCAGGGCTCCCCAGCCTCCCAGCAGCAACCCGGAGGCCGGACTCCCACCGGGGCCACGGGCTGCTCTGCGCGCTCCTCCTCTGCTCTGGGGCAGCCACGCCCGCGGCCCGCCCACCCGGGCTCGGGAAGCCCCTCGCAAGAGGAGTTTCACAGGGTGGCTGGGAGACACTTCCGGGAGGCGCGGTGCGTGGCCGCCACCCACCATGGGCACCTCCTGCCCCGCGGCCCAGGGCAGCCCCGAGTTCCGAACCACGGGACGGCTCTTCCAACCAGCAGCGAGGCTGCGGGCGCCGCCAAGGCCGTCCCGGGCAGGGCCGGGGTCTCGGGCGCAGCGGCAGCCTCTGAGCCCCTCCACCCAGGACCCCGCTCCCCTCCACGCCTCACGGACACGAGAGCCCGCCGGGACGGGGCTGTCGGCTCCAGGCGGGGCCCCACACGTCTTTTTTTTTTTTTTTTTTTTTTGTGAGACAAGCGTCTCACTGTGTTGCCCGGGCTAGAGTGAGTGCTGTGGCGTCAACCTCGCTCACGGCAACCTCAATCTCCTGGGCTCCAGCGATCCTCCTGCCTCAGCCTCCCGAGTAGCTGGGACTACAGGCATGCGCCACCATGCCTGGCTCATTTTTTCTATATATATTAGTTGGCCAGTTAATTTCTTTCTATTTACAGTAGAGACGGGGTCTCGCTCTTGCTCAGGCTGGTCTCAAACTCCTGACCTGGAGCGATCCTCCCGCCTCGGCCTCCCAGAGTGCTGGGATGACAGGCGTGAGCCTCCGCGCCCGGCCCCCTACAAGTCTCGGTCAGTGACAAAGGAGGGAACCTCTGACGGAGGCAGGCGTGATCAGACAGAGGCCTGCCTGCTGTCGGGGGCTCTGTGCGTGCGTGTGTGCGTGTGCATGCCTGTGTGTGTGCGTGTGTGCTCGCCACGTCGGCCACCTGGGCCCCTGGGCAGACGGTTCTGGCCGGGCTCTGGGGGATTATCGGATGAGAACGGTGAACCCGCTGGCAGAGGGCAGGGCAGGGCAGGCCAGGAGGAGGGTGCCCAGCCAGCCGCGACTGGGGTGCCGGGGGCTGGCGTGCGACCGGCGGGCTTTAAGCCTCAGCGGGGAGGCGGGTGGAACCGGTTTCTGCTTGGCCGGAGGCTCCTGACTCCGAGAGCAAACACTCCCTGCATCGCGGGATTTCTGCAGCGCACGCTGGCCCTGACTTTGCAAGAGCGCTCTGAAAAAAGCCTTCCCCGGGCCTCGAGGAGACGTTAATGGATTTCCGAACGGGATTAAAAATTCACCCCCCCACCCCCACCAGGGGTGTGTGTCCCCTCCACACGGAGACTCGTCACCTGCCTCCCTTCAGCGGAAGCCTGACATCCGGCCACGCAGATGCACCGTGACCTACTTACCCACCTCTCTGCTGCTGGATGTTTGCTTTTCCAATTTCGTTCGGGTTGTTAGAATTCCTTTGCTTTTTTTTTTTTTTTCTTTTTTCATGAGCCGGGGTGCTGCCATGTTGCCCAGGCTGGACTCGGACTCCGGGGCTCGAGCAACCCCCCTGCCTCCGCTCGCCCCGAGCCCCTGAGTAGCTGGAGCTACAGGCACACGCCACCGTGCCCGGCAAATGTTTTAATTTTTTTTGTAGAGATGGGGGTCTTGCTATGTTGCCCAGGCTGGTCTCGTGAACGCCTGGCCTCAAGTGATTCTCCCACCTCGGTCTCCCAATTTGCTGGGAGGCCAGGCCCACGCCTGAACTTAGAATTCTTTTTTAAAGCTTTTTCCCTCTCTGGGTATGGAAGTGGCAGGCACTCCTTGTGCCAAACTGAAACACACACACACACAGGGATAACAAGCCAATAGCACTGCCCAAGGCTGACAAGAGAGAGGACAGGTGGCCCTTACCTGGCTGGGTCCACCTGCAGGTTCCCCGTGGGCAATCACCTGCATGTTCTAGGCCTTATCCCAGATATCTCCACCCTCCTCTCCTCACAGAAGAGCAGCATGGTGGGCTGCTCCCGTGCCTTCAGAATTTCCCCAGACTCCCATCTCAACGCGGGACTGGGGATGATTTCCTCAACAAATCCCCCGCCCCTGAAGGTTCAACTTGTTTCTAGTTTATTTCAGAAGCTCTGGATACAGACTTCTGAATAAATCACTGCTTCCTCCCTCATTCCTACAATCGGATTCCTCGGGAATGAGATTTCTGGAGCAAATGCTTTTCCGAAAAGGTTTTTGATGAAGCTCAGTCGATTTGCTTTCCCAGAGGGGATGAGCAATTCCTGCGGTTGATCCTTTCACCTCAACCTGACCAGCAACGGGTTTTAATGCTTTGTGTCGTTTCTGTCAGTTTTACAGGCCTGTCTATTGCATTAAAATAGACCTAAGGGATCTTGGGAATTTCGGCACAGGCAGATCTGAGTGAGGTTCACTCCTCGGGAAGGTGAAGTCACCCCAACAATCCATTTTTTTTTAAATCTCTTAAATTTTTTATTTTTTTTCAGACAGAGTCTCGCTTTGTTGCCCAGGCTAGAATGAACGCCGTGGCATCAGCCTCGCTCACAGCAACCTCCAACTCCTGGGCTCACGCGATCCTCCTGCCTCAGCCTCCCGAGTAGCTGGGACTACAGAAGCCACCACCACGCCCGGCTAATTTTTCTATTTTTAGTAGAGACGGGGTCTCGCTCTTGCTCAGGCTGGTCTCGAACTCCTGAGCTCAAGCGATCCTCCCGCCTCGGCCTCCCAGAGTGCTAGGATGACAGGCGCGAGCCTCCGCGCCCGGCCCCAACATGCAGTTCTGCTATCTTGGCCCCGGCTGTGCTCACAAAGAAAAAGGCAGCAAAAAGCGCTTTCGAAAGCCGGCCGGCCCTTACCTTCTTGGCGTCCCACGCTTGCTTGGAGAGGGTTTTGTCTGCCTCGGACGTGGTCTCTTCCATTCCCGGGACCGTTAACAGTAGGACTGGGGGGGGGGGGAGAATCAGAGAGGAAATCTCTCAGCAGCCGCACGGTGGCACCAGGAGGCCACGTCCCTGACACTCGGTCACGACTGCGGTGAGCCTGGCATCGGCCCAACGACAACTTCTGCTGGGGATTGTGCTAAAGCCACGAAAAGGGTTTCATTAAAAAAGAAAAAAAAAATTTTCGAATTAAGTCGGAGAATCTGCGACTTAAAGAGAAAGAAAAGCAACATCTCTGGGGCGCCAGGGCGAGTGGATCCCGCCGGCGCCCACAGAGCCAGCTCGGGCCTCGGGCCGCCAGGAACCGCCGGGACTCTCCCCTGCGGACGGCCACCAGGCCCTGCGTGACCCACGGCGCCGGGTCTCCACGTGACCCACGAGCTGGCACGGCGTGCCCCTCTGCCCTCCCCTCTGGGCTGCTGGCACCGCCCCGTGCTAGGCCCTTCTGGGACCACCCGTGCCGCGCGCAGGGGTGCAGAGCCCGCCACTCGCTGCGGATCGAGGCCAGACGGACCCACTGTGGTAGCAGCGGCCGTGTGGGTCAGCCGCGATGCCGGCCAGCCCCGGAGCAAGAGAGAAGAAGGGTAAGGAAGCTCTGAGGGACAGGATGGAAGGGCATCATTTGAGGCCCTGGAACGAGCCGTGCCTGAAGGCCTCTTTTCAGTCAAAGTGAGATTAAATATTTTCCTATTTCATTTCTGCTGGAGGTTTTGTTTCTTCGTTTGCAACGGAGAAAGCCGTAATGAACGAAGCCAAAAGGGCCGACTCCTTTTTCTTTTCACCACCCTGGGCCCCCCTAGGAGAGTGGGGGCAGGTGACACGTCCCCTCCCCCCAGTCCTCCCCTCCAAGGCCAACCAGATTCTGACCAGCAAGGGTCCTGGGTCCCAGCCCCCTTCCGGTTACGGTATCCCAGGGGACGGCGGTGTCCTCGTGCCTGACCCCCCAAAGCCCTGTGTTTGTGGGGGCCCAGCGGGGAGGCCACAGCCTCAGAACAGCCCCCACGTCGGGAGCAGCAGGGAAGCCCCCGGCATTGTGTCTGTCTTCGTCGCCCCTGGGTGTTCTGGAAGCTTCCTTTTCATCTCGGAGACGGTCAAGCCCTTCTGCATGTTGCCTTTGCCGCCCGCTGAGCCGGAACCCGGGGCGAAGTCCGTTCCGGCCGGAACGCACAGTTCGGTCCCTGCGCAGCGCTCCAGACGGCGTGCCCAGGCCGCCGCCTCCAGGCCGGGCTCCCAAGCTTGCCGGGCCGCACAGACCTGCCCCGGCCTCGGGGTGTGCGCACGGCTCGGCCAGGGGGACGGTCCGGGCGGTCGGGGAGGACACGGCCTCTTTCTCGCGCCCTGGGTCAGGACAGGCCGGGCTGTCGGCCAGGAGGGCTCCGAGCGGCAGAGCCGCAAACGGTCCAGTGTGAAGCCCTGGAGGGGCCGAAGCTGAGGGTCTGCTCCTAGACTGCTCTGTCCTGAGCCGACAAGCGCCCTCCGCGTGGGCTTGCTGCCCCCTACGTTTGAGATAAGCCCCCAGGCTCTGTAGCCATGCCCTGAATCCAGGAACGGAAGCCCAGGTGTGTTTGCGGGGGTTGTTTTCACCGCCCAGAAAACTCCTATGCATGCGTCAAAACCCAACTCAAGTAGTGCCACCTCGGAACGTTTCCCCAAGCCCCTCCCCTGACCCCAAAGCACAGCCTCCGCGTCTTCCTTCGAAGGTCTGTGACCTCCTGGAGCACAGGGACGACCCACTGCCCTTGCCTGGCCCCAGCAGCGACGCCCGGGTAGCCCGTCCATACCTCTTTTCTGGTGTGCGTCCTGGGACCCGCCCGTGAAGGACTCAGGCTGGGTGGGCGCCATTGTGCTCTGGTGCAGGGCGGAGTCAGAATTGGTCCTGGCGGGGGGAGAGAGACAGTGAAGGACAGCCCCGGCCCCAGGGAAGAGAAGGCGCAACCCCGATCCACCTGTCCGGGACAGGCCTGGAGGCCACGGTGGCAGCCAGGGGTCATTCTTGTAAGCTGCTGATCCTGGGCAAAGCCCCAAGGACGCCATTCTGAAAAGAGCCAGGCCGGGCGTGGCGGCTCACGCCTGTCATCCTGGCACTCTGGAAGGCCGAGGCGGGAGGAACGCTCGAGGTCAGGAGTTTGAAACCAGCCTGAGCAAGAGCGAGACTCCGTCTCTACTAAAAATAGAAATAAATTATTAATTGGCAAACTAAAAACATATAGAGGAAAAATGAGCCAGGCGTGGTGGCGCGTGCCTGTAGTCCCAGCTACTCGGGAGGCTAAGACAGGAGGATCGCTTGAGTCCAGGAATCTGAGGTTGCTGTGAGCGAGGCTGACGCCACGGCACTGTAGTCCGGGCAACAGAGTGAGACTCTGTCTCTAAATACTAACTAACTAACTAACGACAGAGACTCTGTCTCTAAATACTAACTAACTAAATAATCAATCAATAAATCAATCAATCGATCAATAAAACAAACCACCAGAGTGACCGAGGCTCTCACCTGCCGAGCCCGGAGAGAGCAGACAGCAGGGGCAGAGACGTCCCGGCTCCCACCAGCCCTGCCCGTCCCCGCCCCTCCGAGAGCCCCTCTGCTCTGAGGAAGGGAGGGTGCCTTCCTGCTGACACCCCGAGACGGAGCCCCGCCGGCGCCCAGCTTTGGGAGCACGAGCCCCCGGCCTGTGGCCGGTTCCCCTCCGGGTGACAAATATAGACGGGCCGCCCTGCCCTCCAGGACGCTCAGTGGCGGCTGGGAAGGGAAGGCGTGGAGAAGGCAGGCAGGCTCGGGGGAGCCCCCACGCCGGGACGCTCCCCGAGGGGAGAGGTCTTGCCTCGACCAGCCCCAGAGCTACCGGGAGCCAGGGCAGCCTCTGCCCGGGGGGCCCTGCTGCTTCTGGCAGCTGATCACGACAAAGGGCGGGCTGACCGCCCTGCTCCCGGCTGCGCGAGTCTCAAGGGAGGGGCCCCAGAACGGCCCTCGGCCGCCCCCCCGGATGTGAGTCCAGCCGCACAGCTGGCAACCCCAGCAGCAGGGTGAGGGCCGTGCGCACCCGACGGGCACGTCCCAGCCACGGACAGCCACTCGGAGGAGACTCGGTCCAAGCAGGGAGCTGCGACAGACCGGGCCAACCGGGAGGGACCAGGTGTCAGGCAGTGAGGAGCTGGCCCGGACCCTCCGCCAGCGGCTGTGTGTCCCTGAGTGTGTGTTCCGACCTCTCTGTGCCCAATGCCCCCGTGTCTAAAACGGGAGATGAGGGCAGCATCCGCTCGGTGGAGCTCCGTGCGCACGGCTCCGCCACCGGGCGGGATGGCGGGAGCAGGCCTGACCTGCGCTGCGTGCTTGCTGGGAGGTAACTATGTCATCGTGTGTGTGTGTGTGTGTGTGTGTGTGTTCCCTACAGCTCGCTCACTCGTGTTCATCGTTTACTGGCATCGCCTACACGTAAATACATTTTTTATCGCAGTGAAATACATATGACACAAAACGTACCCTTTTAACCATTTTTTTTTTTCCTTTTTTGAGACAGAGTCTTGCTTGCTCTGTTGCCCGGACTAGAGTGCCGTGGCGTCAGCCTCGCTCACAGCAACCTCCGACTCCTGGGCTCAAGCGATCCTCCTGCCTCAGCCTCCCGAGTAGCTGGGACTACAGGCATGCGCCACCACGCCCGGCTCATTTTTTTTCTATATATTTTTAGTCGGCCAATTAATTTCTTTCTATTTTTAGTAGAGACAGGGTCTCGCTCTTGCTCAGGCTGGTTTTGAACTCCTGACCTGGAGCGATCCTCCCGCCTCGGCCTCCCAGAGTGCTGGGATTACTAAAGACGTGAGCCACCGCGCCCGGCCACTTTTAACCATTTTTAAGCACACAGTTCTGTGGCATTAAGTACATTCGCTGTGCAACTATCACTTGTACTGCTGTAACTGTTTATATTAACTATATCATTGTTGATATTCTAGACCTTTCTAAGGGACGGCATGCTGGGTGACTTTCTTCCTCTTCTAGGCACATTTACGTACTTTCCTAACCTTCTAATGTAAACGTGCAATACTTTCATAACCGCGTTTTCAGTGATGCTGAGCAATGTGGGAAACTGGTTGCATATAGCAGTAAACTAAAAAAACCTAAAATGCAGAATATCCAACATTACTCCAAATTTTGTTTTTAAAAAAAGCCACTGGCCGGGCGCGGTGGCTCACGCCTGTAATCCTAGCACTCTGGGAGGCCGAGGCGGGAGGATCGCTCGAGCTCAGGAGCTTGCAAAACCAGCCTGAGCAAGAGCGAGACCCCGTCTCTAAAAAAATGGAAAGAAATTAATTGGCTAACTAATTTATACAGAAAAAATCAGCCGGGCGTGGTGGCGCATGCCTGTAGTCCCAGCTACTCGCGGAGGCTGAGGCAGGAGGATCGCTTGAGCCCAGGAGTGTGAGGTTGCTGTGAGCGAGGCTGACGCCACGGCACTCTACCTCCGGTCAACAAAGCGAGCCTCTTTCTCAAATTTTAAAAAGTCATAAATGGGGGGGGGTGCTGGAAGACTCCCCAAAGCTGCAATAACCTCGGTGTGGCAGGGAGAGAGCTGATTTCTAGAAACTTCTGGATGCTTGTTAGTTCTGTCGCTCGTAGAGCGAGTGCACGCGGGCTGTCCCACGTCGCCGCGTGAGCGGCTGGCTTGTCCCAGCAGGAGGCTGGGGGCACTGACCTTCTCCAGCTGGTGTCCGCGGGCGGGGAGAGGTACACGGCGCCGTAGGGGCAGCTGTCGGCGTGCGCGCGAGTTAAGGGCACAGAGCGGCTCGGCCGGCCGCCGGGCGGGAACCCGGCCAGGCTGCTGGGGCGTCCCCGCCAGCCTCCCTTGCAGGCTGTGACTGGCCCCCCGGTCCCCTCCCGGGGCTCCCCGGGGCGCGGCCCCCTCCGTCCGCCCAGCACTCAGCACTCTGCTCCGCGAGCACGCGTGCAGGCCGCGCCCCCTCGGGGGCCGTGAACCCGGGGCCCACGGGGAGTCTGGTTCAGCTGGCCCGGTCTGGACTCTTAGCCGGGGCGGCTCCCGGGCGACGGCGGGGTCGGCCAGGTCCCCGCAGCAGCGAGGCGCAGGCTCTGGCGAGGGCCCGGCTGGCCGAGCCCCAAGGAGTGGGGCGGGGGGGCCTCTGGCCAATCTCCGCTTCGGCCAGGCGGGGGGGTGGACTGTACGCCCGTCTTGCAGGGACTGAGCCTCCCTCGCATCCGGGTCCCGCGGCCTGGGCTGGGCTGGGCTGGGCTGGGCTGCCACCAAGTGCTGCCCAGGACGGCTCAGGCAACTCACTGCCCTCCTGGCCCCGCTGACCTGCCAGACTCCTGAGTCCTCTGTGGTCCGGTGGCACCTTCCTCCCCTCCCGCCTCGGGAGCTGCTCCCTGTGGCTCCTTAGCCCCCCCCAAGCACGCCCAAAGGCTCCTCAGCTTGCAGCGCCACCTCCTCCAGAAAGTCCCCCTGGATTACACCGAGATCAAGCCTGTCTGTCTCTGTCAGTGATGCTCCGATTCCATCCCCAGAGCCGGCAGCGGCCGGCCCCACCAGAGCCTGTTGGGCGAACCCGGGGTCCCTCAGCCACCCCCATCCTCCGAGAAAAAGGATATCTGCCGTCCGTGTTTGTCCACAGACAGGGGCCGGCGGTGCGGGGAGCCGAGCCGGCCGCGCTCCCGGTACACTCTGTCCACCAGCCCGTGGTGCCGGGTGGTCCGGCTGGTGTCCAGGCCCGAGGACTGGAAGGGCGTCTGGGTGGGCAGGAGGGGAGAGAGAGACAGGCCCGCACGAGGGTCACCACCGGCGGCGGCCCGAGACCTGCCCCGGCTCTGCCCCCGGGATCCCATCTCGGGGTCCCCGCTCCAGAGCGCCCGCGGCCACCGCTCCACAGCCTGGAGGGGCCTCCTCCTTGCGCCCCAGCCCCCCGGCCCTCCGAGCCCCGGGGGTGGGGGACGGGAGCCGGGGTTGCCGGGAGCCGGGCGGCGAGGCGTGCAGGGCGGCCGGCATGCACAGGCCAGGCAGAGCGGCACAAGCTCGGGGCCCGGTGCCGGCCCGGGTGCCAGGGGTGCAGCCGGCTGAGCAGCCCCTCCCCAGCCTCGCCAGGTGCAGACAGGCCTCCGCCCCCCTCCCCGGCCCGGCCGGCCGGCCGCCTTGCCCCTGCGTCATCCCTGGAGGGGCCTGCAAGAGCCGGCCAGGGGGCTTCCTGCCCGGGCTGCTGCGGGGCTTCCTGGCCCAGCACTAGTTCCGGGGGGCTTCCTGCCTGGGGCTGCTGCGGGGAAGCCTGGCCGAGCACTAGTTCCCGGGGGCCACCTGGCCGAGCACTAGTTCCCGGGGGCCGCCTGGCCGAGCCCAGGGCTGCTCTTGGCCGAGTCACGCCCCGGCACCACGGGGTCCGAGCACAGGCGCTTTCCAATCCCGGCCCGCTGCTCGGCTGGACGGGGCTTCCTTCCAGCACCTGGGGCTGGCGCCAGGCCCCGCTCCCCGCCCGGACCCGTGCTCTCGGGGCCGCCCTGGCCCTGCGCTGCCCACTCGCCATCTGACCAGGGTGGAGGGGCGGCTGTGCCGGCTCCGGACGCAGCCAGGCCCGGCCTGGCCATCTGGCCCCTGCTCCCACCTGCCCTCCCCAGGCGGCCGGGCAACAAGCAATTCTGACGTCAAAACGTGTCTCTCCCTCGAGAAGACCATCAGTGGCCGGGCTCGCCACCCTCCCCCACCCGTCCGGACGCGCCCTGGCCGGGGCTGCCGGGACCAGCGAGGACCCCGCTGCTTTGGTTCTTTCTGCATGTCTGACCCAACACGCAGAAGGCGCGGGGCACGAGGGCCTGCGACACGGAAGGTCCCGGGGACCACGCTGACCGGGGGCGCGGGCTCGGGAGGGCAGGGGCCATCCCATCTCCTCCAGAGATGCCTTAAAGCCCAGAGGGGAAACCGAGGCAGCTAAAGCGGAGTGAGAGGCGCAACGAACGAAGCTGGGGCCAGCCACGCCCCGGCCTGCCAGGCCCCTGCTGCCGGCCTGGCCTGGCACACGCACACGTATGCATGTGTTTGCAGGGCTGGACCATGCAGTTCTGGGGCACATGCTTGGATCCTGCTCCGTGGGACCCCAGCCTGGGACACACGGCCGCGGCATCCGCCCCGGGTGCACCCCGAGAGTCCGTTGCCACGGAGACCACAGGCACGCACGTCCCGAGACGGGGGTGCAGCGGCCAGGACACCCCCTGCTCCCTGGGAGCCGAGGGGGCGGCTGTGTGGGGAGGGTGGGGGTGCCCGGCGCCCACACGCGGCCGGGGTCTCACGGGCTGGCCCGGGTGCGGCGGCCCCAGCCTGGGGGCTCGTTTACCAGAGAGACAGGAGCCGCTGCCAGGGCCTCCCCCAGAAATCCGCTGGGCTGAAAATGCAAAGAACCGAGACTTTGAGACGCTCTTGCCTCGCCGGCCCGGGCCATGGAAGGGGGGGCGCGGGAGGCGGGAGACAGGTAGGAGGAGAGAACACCCGACCCCGGAAGGGCGTGACAAACAGACACCCCCATCAGTGACCGCCCCTCGGCCTGCGGGGCGCCGAGCCGGCCTGGGGTCCCCGCCTGTCCCCGCGGTGGCGGGGGAGGGGCGGGGCGACTTGGGCGGGCACCGAGCTCCCTGCAGAAGGGCCCAGCCCCCCCCCCCCCCCCCCCGCGTCGGCGGATGTGGCGGTGCCCGGCGCCCCTTCTCGGCAGCGGGACAACAGGCGTGCGACCCCTGGGGGGACTGCCCCCCAGACGCAGTGCGACCCCTGGGGGGACTGCCCCCCAGACGCAGTGCCGGGCGGCCCGGACTCGAGAGCCAGCCCCCCATCCCGCCCGCCCCCGTTCCCGCCTGCAGACCAGGCCGGCACGAGGACCGCCGTGGACCTCGTCTGCCGAGGTTCACCACAAGCACGTGTGCGGGGGCCGGGAGCCTGCGGGAACGGACCGCCTGGGCCTCAGCCGGGAAACGCCCACAGGCGGGAAGGGTCGGGCCGCCCGGCCTCCTCCCGAGAGCCGCTGGGCGAGGGGTGAGTGCGGCAGGACGGGCCCAGCCCCAGCGGCCTGAGCGGTACCTGCCACGGTGCAGCTGGCCGAGAGGTGCAGGGGCTGCCGGGCCGCTCGAGGACGGGCCGGGATTGGCCTGGGTTGGGGACGGGGATGGTCTGGGGACGGCAGTGAGCCCTGGCCGGGCCACTCAAGGATGGGCCAGGGCTGTTCTGGGTTGGGGATGGGGGACGGGCTCGGGGACAGCAGTGAGCCCTGGCCGGGCCGCTCGAGGACAGGCCAGGGGTGACCGGGGTTGGGGACAGGGTCGGGCTCGGGGACGGCAGTGAGCCCTGGCCGGGCCACTCAAGGATGGGCCAGGGCTGTTCTGGGTTGGGGATGGGGGACGGGCTTGGGGACAGCGGTGAGCCCTGGCCGGGCCGCTCGAGGACAGACCAGGGGTGACCGGGGTTGGGGACAGGGATGGGCTTGGGGACGGCAGTGAGTCCTGGCCGGGCTGCTCAGCCTCCCCTGAAGCCCCTGGCAGGAAAGCAGTGGGCGGGGGTGGGGAGGGCTCCGACTGCTGTCTGGTGACCCCAGCTGCCCCAGGCACCTGGCCCCAGGTAGGGTGCGGCAGGGGGAGGCTCCCTCGAGGGGGCAGGGCCTGCAAGGGGCCGGGCTCACCTGGAAGGGCAGGTCCATGGCGCCGCTGCCGATCTGGTTCACGTTGGGCAGGGAGCCGCCGTAGTACTGGCCGCGGCTGGGGCCCAGCTGCAGGTACTGCGACTTCTGGAGCTGGAGCTGCGAGAGACAGAGACACACGCGGTGGGCACGGGCGCCCGCACGCCCTCCGGAGCGCCGCCCGCGAGGCCACGAGGGCGCCAACGGCATCATCGGGGAGGCTGCGGAGTGACAGCCCAGGCCCGGGAGAGACGCCGTCCCGCTGGCCTGCACGGGACACAAGGCGCCGGGGCCGAAGCGTGGGACGCGTGGGGCACCCCAGACCCAGCCTGGCTCTGGGGGGTCCTGGTTGCCGCGGGAGCCAGGCCGCCGGGCGCCCTCATGCCTGCCGCATCCTGCTGCCCCTCGTCTCCAAACCGGGGCCCGGAGACCCCGAACAGCCGCGCCAACTCGGAGCAGGGGACCCGGCCTGGGACCCTCACGTGGCTTATAACGGCGGCAAACGCCCCCACTGGGTGGCACAGCCCGTGGCCTTTGGGGACGCCAGTCCATGGCGCCCGCCATGAGCATGAGGCGGTGGCTGGGGACGAGGGGGGGTGGCGTCCACTCTGGCCGTGGCAGGCGGGTTGCTATGGTGACGCTGTGTACACAGCAGGGCCGGCTGGCGGGCACTCCCCCACAAACAGCTCCCGGCAGTGCCCGGAGAGCAGGCCACCCCCGGCTTCCTGGGGCGCCCCGGACACCAGGCGCACGTGAAGCCCGGGAACTGGCCGCCGGCCCGGCCCAGCACCTTGCCCAGGTACACACCTGCGGTGGGGCCGACGGTCGGATCTGCCTCGCTCATGCTCGGGGGTTCTCGGGGGGCTGCGGGTCTGGCCAGGGGTCTGTGCAGGGAGGGCCCACACACAGCCCACCAGCACCCCACCAACGCCCACTGTGCCCCTCTGGCAGTCACACTCGGCAAAACAGGCCAGCTCCCAGGTGGGGCGGAGGTGCAGGGGTGGGGGGTGCAGGGGCACAGGGGTGGGGGGTGCAGGGGCGGGGCACCACAGCTCCAGCCCCACCCCTGCCCGGGCACAGGCCGCCTCTGCTCCCCAGACCCCATCCACGCCCTCCGCAAGTCCTAGCCGCATGGTGGCAAGAACCTCTGCCGCATATACGTCCCGCTGACCATGTGGCCCACAGGCCACGACCCCTCAGACCTCCGTCTCCCTGCCAGCGAGAGTCGTACGGGCAGGTGCGTGTGTGGACGCCTGGCGAGTGGTACAGGAAGTGATCATATGATACGTGCTTTTTTTTTTTTTTTTGAGACAGTCCCACTGTGTTGACCGGGCTAGAGTGAGTGCCGTGGTGTCAGCCTCGCTCACAGCAACCTCCAACTCCTGGGCTCAAGCGATCCTCCTGCCTCAGCCTCCCGAGTAGCTGGGACTACAGGCACGCACCACCATGCCCGGCTCATTTTTTCTACATATTTTTAGTTGTCCAGCTAATTTGTATTTTTAGTTAGTAGAGATGAGGTCTTGCTCTTGCTCAGGCTGGCCTCGAACTCCTGACCTTAAGTGATCCTCCTGCCTCTGCCTCCCAGAGTACTGGGATGACAGGCATGAGCCACCGCGCCCGGCCTATACGTGCTTTCTACACGGCTGAACCGCCAGCTCCTGGGAGACCTCACGTTGGGGTGAGAGCTCCCTGAAGCCTCCTTATTCGAGGCTGCGTCTCTGGGCCAGAAGGGGGCCTGGCGTCCAGGGACAAGCTGCAGGAGGGAGGGAAAGGAGCTTGTGGCCCCGAGGCCCCACCTCTGTCCGAGCCTTTTTCTCCTCAATGTCCCGACTCTGAGCCCCAGCCACCGTCCTGAGGACTCTGCTCTTCCTTCAGGGACCCCACGAAGAGCTGTGCAGGAAAGGGTTAACCCTGCCCAGAGAGAGGTCTGGCTTTTGTCCCCAGCTCCTGGGAGGTGACCTCACGCCCTCAGAATGTCCCTCTGATAAGAGTGTCCTTTTGCAGTGGGCAGGGCAGGGCCCCAGGCCACACGCAGCAGCATTAGGTGGAGGGACTAGAGAGGCCAGGCCCGCCCACAGGGTCAGCCCCGCCCACAGGGCCGGCCCCATCCACAGGACCAGCCACGCCCACAGGGCCAGCCCCACCCACAGGGCCAGTCCCGCCCACAGGGCCAGCCCCATCCACAGGGCCAGCCCCGCCCACAGGGCCAGCCCCATCCACAGGGCCAGCCCCGCCCACAGGGTCAGCCACACCCATGGGGCCAGCCCCACCCACAGGGCCAGCCCCGCCCACAGGGCCAGCCCCGCCCACAGGGTCAGCCATGCCCACAGGACCAGCCCCATCCACAGGGTCAGCCCCGCCCACAGGGCCGGCCCCATCCACAGGACCAGCCCCATCCACAGGGTCAGCCACACCCATGGGGCCAGCCCCACCCACAGGGCCAGCCCCGCCCACAGGGCCAGCCCTGCCCACACGGTCCACCACGCCCACAGGACCAGCCCCATCCACAGGGTCAGCCCCGCCCACAGGGCCAGCCCCATACACAGGGCCAGTCCCGCCCACAGGGTCAGCCCCATACACAGGGCCAGCCCCGCCCACAGGGCCAGCTCTGCCCACAGGGCCAGCCCCATACACAGGGCCAGTCCCGCCCACAGGGCCAGCTCCGCCCACAGGGCCAGCCCCGCCCACAGGGCCAGCTCCGCCCACAGGGCCAGCTCCGCCCACAGGGCCAGCCCCGCCCACAGGGCCAGCCCCATACACAGGGCCAGTCCCGCCCACAGGGCCAGCTCCGCCCACAGGGCCAGCCCCGCCCACAGGGCCAGCCCCGCCCACAGGGCCAGCTCTGCCCACAGGGCCAGCCCCGCCCACAGGGTCAGCCATGCCCACGGGGCCAGCCCCGCCCACAGGGCCAGCTCTGCCCACAGGGCCAGCCCCGCCCACAGGGCCAGCTCTGCCCACAGGGCCAGCCCCGCCCACAGGGTCAGCCATGCCCACGGGGCCAGCCCCATACACAGGGCCAGCCACGCCCACAGGGCCAGCCCCGCCCACAGGGTCAGCCATGCCCACGGGGCCAGCCCGATACACAGGGCCAGCCATGCCCACAGGACCAGCCCCATCCACAGGGTCAGCCCCGCCCACAGGACCAGCCCCATACACAGGGTCAGCCCCGCTCACAGGGCCAGCTCCACCCACAGGGCCAGCCATGCCCACAGGGCCAGCCATGCCCACAGGGCCAGCCCCATCCACAGGGTCAGCCCCGCCCACAGGGTCAGCCCCGCCCACAGGGTCAGCCCCACCCACAGAGCCAGCCCCACCCACAGGGCCAGCTCCACCCACAGGGTCAGCCCCACCCACAGAGCCAGCCCCACCCACAGGGCCAGCTCCACCCACAGGGCCAGCCCCGCCCACAGGGCCAGCCCCGCCCACAGGACCAGCCCCATCCACAGGGTCAGCCACGCCCACAGGGCCAGCCCCGCCCACAGGGCCAGCCCCCAGCAAAGCCCCGGACTCTGAGGCTCAGGCAGCCTCCCAGGTTGGCAGTGGTCCGCAGGGCAGAGCGCACAGGGGCCCCAAGGCGGGGAGTGGGGGGCTGGGTGGTCCTGGGGGGCCTGAGCTCGCCCCACTAAGCCGCGGCGTTGCAGGGGGGTGAGGGGGGCCAGGTGCACCGTGTATCCAGAGCTGGCCTCAGTTTCCCCCCCTCACCTCCAAGGCCTTCAGGTCTGGCCCTCCAGCCTCCCTGACCACGGAGCCCCAGCACACAGGCCCCGCACGGAGCCACGCGCTGCTGCCGCCGGAAGGCTCCGCCCGCTGGGCACCTCCCCGGGGCGGCCCGCGCCACGGCGCACGTGTCAACCCGACTCCTCCTCCGGGGAGACCGCCAGCCCTGCGGGGGCCTGGCACGCGGCGGGCTCGGCATGCACGTGGACACCCCAAACCAGATGAACGCGGGAGCACAGGAACCTCTCGCAGACGGGCCCTCGAGGCCGAGGCTGGGCAGGGGCCGCTTTCTCCTGCGCGGTCTCTGCGGCCCCGCCCCTCTGGGCCCCTGGTCCGGGAGGGGAAACGGAGGCTCAAGGAAGAACAGAGGGCGGAGCCACCGTGCACGCCCCGGGGGCCCCGAGAACCACCCACCACAGGGAGGTGCGGGCCAGGGCTCCCCCTAAGCCCTGCGCAAGCAGGCGGCACACCTGGACCCCAGGGCGCCCAGGACGGATCGGACGCCACGCCTTCCCGCTCCGAGGTCTCCCGAAGACACGGGCCCCCCACCGCGGCCAGCCCTGTCCGGCCCCACCCCCACCCCCGAATCCGGACTCAGGGAGCCGGTGCCCAGGAGGGAGGCCTGCGGTGACCAGTGACTGCACCCCACCACGGACAGCCCTGTCCGGCCCACCCTCACCCCCGAATCCGGACTCAGGGAGCCGGTGCCCGGGAGGGAGGCCTGGGGTGACCGGTGACCGCCCCCCACCGCGGCCAGCCCTGTCCGGCCCACCCCCACCCCGGAATCCGGACTCAGGGAGCCGGTGCCCGGGAGGGAGGCCTGCAGTGACGCCCCCACCCGCGGCCCAGCCCCCACCCCCACTCGGCGGACGGCGTGGACAGTGTGGATGGCGTGGTGGCTCTGCCTCGGGCACAGGGCAGCGGGCGCACCCCGAGCCTCGTTAAGGGCCAGCGGGACGGGGTGGCGGAGGGTCTGCGGCGAGCTGCCTGCGTTCCCGAAACGCAAGCCACGCCCAGCCGTAGGCACGGCCGTCCCT